ACTGTCTAGACAGGAGCGAAGGATAAAATTTTCGTAGCCATGTTGCATGTAAAAATTCCGTATCTGCAATCTCCGAGCGTGATCGACGTCGCCCGATCTGACAGGAAATATAATGAACGCTAGGGACTGACTGCCAAATTATGATCGCCGAATAAGTAAAACAAATGGAGCCGTATGAAAGGTATATACAATCCTTTGATTTCTGACCTACAGATGAGATTTTAATTGGGTTTAAATCCGAATGATATAGCGGTAGTCTCACTAATTCATGTGCTTCTGTTAATTGCATATTTTATAAAACGAGGGTATAGAATGGAATCAGTGAATGGAATATATTTTACTCTGAACCATTTTTGCATAACAGACTTCTTTCTTATGAATGTTTGACATTTCTCCTCTTGTGAGTTGTGTTAGGGTGCATTGTTCAATACTAAAGCAGGGACAGAAGTTGGAGAGGCTTTTCGCCGTTCTCCACTTCATACACAGGAATTGACAGTTTTGCCGTGGAGCTAACCGAAGTGAACACGATACATTGTCGTAGAAAATTATTTTATATTTGGTAATAACAATTTCGCGTAAATAGTTAAATTAATTGTGTAAATTGTAATATATGATTTGAGATATTATTATTTGTTTAAGTAATTATTTCTAGCTCATAAATAGATACGATTGTCGGATTAGCCGCTAATAATTTAAAATGGACGGTAATATTTTTATTCTAGGATACGACAATGGTGAACAAACATTACCGCGAAATTCTCGAATTCGCCCGACGGGGTTTGACGTTTACCACCTCTCTACCTACCAGAAGCCTTTCTATATCACACTATTTAGTGGCAAGTTACACAAAAGTTGTTATTTTTTATATGACTGAAGTTTGCCTAATTTTGATTTTTAGGACAAAATTGTTTTAATTTCCCGCGTTAAACAACAATCAAATATTATCCTCTTGACATTATATCGCTCCAATTTTTTTATGAAACATAACTTTTTGTCCAATAGGTATGCAACTCGTAGCACAAGTAGCTGCCTTAGTGGTTGTCTAACAAAGGGATTGTAACATGGTGGAGTTTTATACGCGGGACACATTGTCAGGACGCAAGAATTTAAGGGGCTATAGGCCACAGGGTTGCCAACCGTACGGTAATTACCGTACTTGTACGGTAATTTCGATTAATGTACGGTATACGGTCCAAAGTCATTACCGTACATAAAAGTACGGTATTTACATAAAAAGTACGGTAAACGTACGGTATTTTGATCAGAATTAGCAGACTTTGAGTTGTGTAAGGGCCGATTCCACTGTTGTGTTAAACGAAGTTTAAATTACTAAATAAAGATTGACATTTGTCTAATGTAAAAATGTGAGTTTAATCTTTTTACTTTTTACAGCACATATTCTTTAAAAGGACCTGGTTTTTACTAAAATATAAGCTAAGGACATTTTTTTAGAAGCTAGGTAGAAGGACCAGAGGTTGATTAAAATTAAAATATGAAGAGGTCCTTTTTTTTTAGAAGTTGGACAAAATAGTAAATTACGTAACAAGAGTTGTAAGTAACCCATTACGCACGAAGTGAATAAATTTCATAAGTGCGTAATGGGCTTACAACTCGTGTAACGTACTATACTTTTTTACGCCCACTTAAAACATTCTCCGAAAAGGATTTAACGTTATGCTTGTGTCACCAATCCATAAATTTTTGATAGGTAATTTCGTACCTTGCTTTGGATTTTAGCGGTAACCAATAATTATGGGGTCTATTCTGTAACAATTCCTTTATATTAAACGGCCTTTAAAAATATTTTCTTCTTTACTTCTGTCATTATTTAAACGGATCTTTAAAATACATTAGACGATTATCTTAAAGAAATCTGTTTAAATAATGACAGAAATAAATTAACGAATTAGAAAATATTTTTAAAGGTCACCAATATTTTTAAAGGTCGGTAAATATAAAGGAATTGTTATAGAATAGACCCCTATGTGTGGGAGCTTGAGCTTTTCATCACTTTCACTACTAACAAACATATTCGTAGGTAAAGTTGAAAAAATGTTCGAATACAATAATATTTTGTTACAAAAATTAACAATATAAATGACGACGTTTATTTCAATAGCATGCTGAGAAATCGCGACATATTTTTTGAAAAATTGTATGATGTGTTGCCAACATTTTGGGGTCATTACTCTTTTATTTCAAAATGTATCTCGCGAATGATAAAACTTTTAAATGTAAGTTTTCTTGTCAAAACGCACTTGTATGTTATAAGATTTCATTACATGCATGTTAAATGTCATTTACAAGGGATGTTGACAGTGCGATTTTTAACGTTTATTGACAAGGGCGTAGAAAAAGATATTTATACAACATAGTTTTTTACTTTTTCTAGTTTTTTTTTACAAAATCAAAGTGTACGGTATTGGAAGGCCATGTACGGTAATTTGAAGTGCGCGGTACGGTAAATGGAATTTGAAAAGTTGGCAACCCTGATAGGCCATTACAATACAGTTAGACGACTAGGGTCTCGACTACATCTGGATAACGTGTTAACTTGTATGCGCTTAATAAATTTTGTACCTACCAGGAACAGTGTCTAAAGCATAAATAAAATTATATTTGAACAACCACACAGTACACTAAATAAATTTCGTCGATAAAAACCTCAGATAAACAAATGAAATATAGATAAGTAACGGTTTGGATTTATTTGAAACCAGTTCTACCCTCCTTTCTATTACTTTCTCTTTCTCCTGATTCCTTGATGTGATTAGTGAAATAAAAACAATAAACCAGTTTACTTTCTTAACTTTCTACACCATCCTCAAAATAATAAAAAAATGAAACCGTAATTCTAGAAGTGGATAAAACATTTTTTAATCAATAGACAATAGTTTGTTTTCGAATCTGTAAATACCGTTTTTAAAATTAGATATTGAAATCCTAAACGTACTGAATACACCTAAATATAAAATTCTTTACATTTGTATATAAACATTTCACAAAATAGCTTGCTATATAGTTCGATAAATAACTCTATATTGGTTAAAAAATTACCTGAGAAATAAAACAGTATTAAAAATATTACTAACAATTATTCGTAAAGTCTCTCGCGCCGATAACATAAAAAAACGGCAAAATCGGAGAACGATTTATCGAAATTCGGTCTGATTCGGTTTCGATTTAATTTAAAGATTATTGACATATTATTGACATCGTTTTTGACCCCATTATACATTTAATTTATCCAAAAAATGAAGAAAGGTTTTGGAGTGTTAGAAAATCCCCAAATGACATCCAAACAGCAACAACAATTCTGATCTAGTGTGAGGCAGAAAAGATACAAAACTCTTGGAACTTACACTAAAGAATTGTATTAATTCAGGCACGAGAATTTTGAAAATTTAAAGCTGCTGTTTTTAAAGTAAACGGACTGCTTCAACTGGCGCAGTCTATCAGATAACTGCAAGAGACAATGAATAAAATTATTGATTAAATCCATTGTTTAAAACAACTAATACTGCCAGAAATAAAATGATCAAATAAATTTGGACTTTAATTTCCAAGATTTGCTACAAAAACCGTCAGTGGAATCAATTTTTTATTTTTATTCTGTATTTTTTTTTTTTTAAGAACGATAAATAACTATTTGTTGTTGATTCTACAACTTATGTCTAATAAAAAATTTCACCATATCAGCTTTTTACCTTATTTTAACCAATATGGCTTTCTCATATTAACCAATAAAACGTGGTTGTATCTATCTCTATATAAATTTATATTATTATATTTTATGACATCGCATTACAGAATCAACTGGCCTGTAATATTTTAAGTACGATGAAATACGAGGTAGACATTACTTAAACTGAAATACATTTGGTGCAGTTAATAGTATAAAAACTTAATCAATGTATTATCCGTGTCTCTCTGCAGATCCGTGTAAATGTATCAGCCAACTCTAAAGAATGCATTGGATAAAAAAATATTCAAGATATTGTTGCAGGAAATTATTCTCTGAAAAAAGTAGTGGAAGAGCGAAAATTATTTGAATCGAGATAAAATTAATTTTAAACTGGTACAGGGGTCTATTCTGTAACAATTCCTTTATATTTAACGGCCTTTAAAAATATTTTCTTCTTTACTTCTGTCATTATTTAAACGGATCTTTAAAATACATTAGAGTACTATCTTAAAGAAATCTGTTTAAATAATGATAGAAGTAAATTAACGAATACAAATATACTTTTAAAGGCCGCCAATATTTTTAAAGGCCGTTAAATATAAAGGAATTTTTACAGAATAGACCCCACAGTCAGTAGGAAGAAGTCAAATGGGGTAGAAATAAGAGTAAAATTGGGGTTTTTAGCAAAACTAATAAGCGATTAAAGCTATTGAGGAAATTGGAAGACGGTTCAACTCGTGAAACTTGCCGTTTTTTCAATGTTTCAATTTAAATTTCATAAAAACAAAAATATATTAAACAACGGAACACCTATTTTTGTGTAAAGTACATTTTGATCGATAAATTAAAGTGTATTTAGTAAAAAAAAATAATTGTAAAATTCTATTTTAAAATATATTTATTTTTTATAATTAAGTCGCGATTTCGAATAAATGCTTGAATAATTTCTAAAATCTAAAGATAATAATTATTTTTAAATATTGTTTTTCTGGCAATTTAATCAATCTTGTGCAAACAAACAAAAATCATTCCATGTATGGCATTTTCGCTGTGTAATATATCTTTTAAACATTTCAATTACATTTTTGTGTAAATATATATATATAATATAATATTTCTCTTTTTATACATTAGGGCTGATAATATAATAATTGTAACAGCAATATACACATTTAAGAAAAAAAATTAATAGAAAGTATGTTCCATACACACCATTTTGATTCTTGAATACCAAAGAACTTGGTAAGTATATTCGATTCTTTGTTCAATGGAACAAGCTGTCTGCGTTTTTGGTTTGTTTGTGTTTTTTCTGTTACTAGTTTTTATCGCCATATAACTTCTTTGAGTTCTCCACAAACTCCATTAGGTCGCGAGACATGGCGTATGGACGTGCCATGCCGTCATTGAGAAGGCTGTCTTCGCAGAAGCATAGGAAGAGGGTATCGATTGTGGTCTGAAAAAAAATTAATAAAAGAATATATAGGTGTATTCAGGGTTAGTACTAGAATGTCACGAAGCTTTGGCCAAAGTATCCATCAACAATGTGGTCACCTTAAGATGGATTAAAAGTCACGCCACATCGAAAGGTAACCGTCTTGAAGATTCACTAGCCAAGAAAGCAGCCAACCAAATACTTTTTGGACCTGGCCCTTCTATTGGCCTGACAAAATCGATAATGACAGACCTAATCAAAGAACATTCCCTTGTGAAATTCAAGGAAAGATGAAACAAAAAACTGCAGAGTTGCCAGGGAGCTCTTAAGTTATCCTGACAACACTGCAGCAAACAAAATACATGACTATGACTAGACAGAATCTGCGCCTAGTCACAGGCATTCCGACTGGTCATTGCCAAGTACGAAAGCATCTCCATATCATGGGGCTGTCAGAATCCGCACTTTGCAAAGGGTGCGAACAAGAAGATAAGACCATATCCTTTACGATTGCTCGACGCTCTCATTTATTAGTAGATTTGTGTTCGGCGGGTATCGGCTAACACCGGCCGATATAAGAGAAGCACCTCTTGGCGACGTTGTCAACTACATTAAATCTGTAGGCTTGCTCACGAGCTAGGAGGTGCCTATCATCTCAGGAGGATGCACAATGGTCCTAATGAGGCCTAAGTGCCGTGGGGTAACCCACCCTCCACACGTTACAGATACAGAGATACGGATAGGTGAGTATGGCAAAATCATGAATATTATATTTGTCGAGAAGTTTTAGGTCAGAACAGTGTCTGTCTTAAAATGAAAAACGACATCGGTAGGAACAACTACGTCTAGTCGAAATTTGTTTAAAATCGTTTTCATAAAAAATGAGTAAACTTACCTCAAATGTAGCGAAGAACGTTACAGCAATGAAGAGTGATACAAAGAATACGATAAGGTAAACAAGGAACGAGTAGTCTGATTCGGCACCCTGAAAAAAAAACAACAATATTATTAATAATATTATTATAATATATAATAATTATATTATTATAATTTTTAATATTATTAATATTATTAATAATATTAATATTTTATTAATATTATTAATAATATTAATATTTTATTAATATTATTAATATTATTAATATTATTAATATTATTAATATTATTAATATTATTAATATTATTAATATTATTAATATTATTAATATTATTAATATTATTAATATTATTAATATTATTAATATTATTAATATTATTAATATTATTAATATTATTAATATTATTAATATTATTAATATTATTAATATTATTAATATTATTAATATTATTAATATTATTAATATTATTAATATTATTAATATTATTAATATTATTAATATTATTAATATTATTAATATTATTAATATTAATAATATTATTAATATTATTAATATTATTAATATTATTAATATTATTAATATTATTAATATTATTAATATTATTAATATTATTAATATTATTAATATTATTAATATTATTAATATTATTAATATTATTAATATTATTAATATTATTAATATTATTAATATTATTAATATTATTAATATTATTAATATTATTAATATTATTAATATAATTAACATTATTAATATTATTAATTGAATCGGTAATTTGAGAAACACCATAACTCAGAAAAATGAAAGTTTGGGAAATTAAAAAAAGCTTCCTTAAATCGTCTGTGTGTGTGAGACAAAACATTGATTTTTTTTTCTAACATTGCAAGATTGATTTACTATTTGATAGTATTAAAACAACTTGTTTTTTTTTTCTAAAGAGTTCTGAACATTTTTTGAAAATCATGACTTATGGGGTTTCTCAAATATTCGGATATTATTTTAAATTATTTAGACAATAAAACTACATATTTTAATAAAATAATATGTTTGTTTAACAATGTTTTTATTTAATCTAAAACTTCATCTAAAATCTTATTATTATCAACAGTCGGTCTTTATAAAATTCAATTACGTCTTCTCATTTCGGAAGATACTGCTTCAGTTTCATCTTCTCTTTGTTAATAGGTATTTTTCCAACATAAGCCTTTTTTTACGGGAAGAGTCAAAGGATGTGTAGATGTATTTCGAAATATATCACAAGTCAGTCCATTTATAGAAGATTTTGTCAAAAGAACTGCTTCATTTTCGAAAAAATGTTTAAAATGCAGATACTGTGATATCTTTTTATCTTATGATACGGTTTGTTAAATTATATTCAACATTGCACTAAGTTTTCATTCTCAATTCTTTATTATTCCTGGAGACGCATCTGCCAGCCGCACTGCCTATTACTCCTGGAGACGTCTCTGTGGCACTGCTTTAGCCAATAAGAACGGTCTCCCGTCACAAGCATAATTCATTTCTTGTCCACTTCTCATTGATCATCCATACCCTGCAATCACCCTCATTGGTTAAAAACACCGGCGTTAGGCACTTCCTAATTGGTAAACGACTAGCGTCACTCTCAATCTAGCTGAGCAGCTTCTCTCTCGGCACAGTTTCAATACCTCTCAAACAGAAAACATCGTTCTGCGGTGTAAAAGAAGGCTTAAGTAACAAATTTCCGAAGAAAAGTCTGTATATAGTGAAAAAAGTATGTAGTTTGTAAGTGAACTATGTAATAAAATTAACATCGTTTCACTAGTGTTTTAAAATAACGTGTGTAATTAGAAAGTGATGTTTTCACCCAGGCACTAATCCTTTCATCCCTGCGGATCGCACTGGTATTTCCAACATTATTTAATACAGTTCACAATTTGCCAAGATCCGATGTCAGTCTTTTGGTCAATCTGCAACAGCTAATTGTATTAGCTCATGTGCCGCGTCTATTAGAGAAACACCATTAATCAGCGACTTATGGGGTTTCTCAAGCAAAGCATATTTTGTCGTTTTAAAATTTAATACAAGTAGTGCTACGAATGGAATTTCTCGTTGGAATGTGCACCGAAGCCATAAGAATCCGCCATTTTTGGAATATGTCAAATTTGTGACTTACGGGTTTTCTCAAATGGCCGATTTAATTAATATTAATAGTGATGGGTCGCTTGGAAAAGTCTACAGCCAAGTCCGACGGACTAGTCTAAAAAGTTGAGTAGTTTAAAACACTTTTCAAAAGTGGAAAAGTTCATTGCGCATGTGCTAAATTAAATTAACTAATTTGTCTGAATTTCTTAAACACAAAGGCAAAATATAGTTAAAAAAAAAAGAAGAAACGATCAGAGATTGTCATCCTCCTATATGATGTCAAAAGGGTGGCTTTGAGGAGAATTGAGAGAGTTGGGATGAGATTAGAATGTATTAGCGCCGACGAGAGACAGAATCTGCAGTGTGACTCCGTGTCATATAGAATTCTACCGATCGCTTCAATCCTATTGATTGTCACTCAGTGTCTCAAAATAATCGCCTGGAGTCTACTGTCTATTGTCACGAAGCAAAATGTCAAGACATATAGTTTTCTACTAAAGTAGACAAACCATCATACATTTTCGTTTTGAGTTTTTATCGTTTGATCTTTGATTTCGTTTTATGCGATTTTTCTATAATTTTATTTAACGGGAACTATTTATTACAAAAAGGGAATACTAGAACTTCTAGAACTGCATTAACTAGATACCCGTTTCACTGCGTTTGGTTCGAAAGGGTCACATGCGACACAAAATGTAACATTTTCGAAATAAATACGCTGAAGCGTAGGGTATGTTTTGGCGTGACATCACGTTTTGGACCGTAAGATTAAAATTTCAGTTTTAAATTGTTTGTTGTTGAATCAACGGTGAATTTTTATTGTGGTTTGTGATGTACACATTATAATGGGTTTATTCCATTATCTTTTTCACTATGAAAGCCTGTCAGGTCCAAGGCGAATCTTCCTGTTAACGAAGCATATACAGCCTATACAGTCATCAGTATAAAAAAGTTCATAATTTGAAATCCTTAATCCAGTATATTCCCCAGTAAAACAAAGAATGTAACAGTATGATACTTGACTGGCTAACAGAGGTCTCCGAAGAGATAGCTGAAGAAGACTTCTAATATATTTATAAAAATTCTTGCTAAATAATGTCATTGTGAAACTATATTTGTTTTATTCTGAAAAAGTTATAAAAGGACATAAATGAAATAAATATTTACATATTTTTATGATATAAATTTTCAGACATCCATGAAAAATAACTGTAATTAGCTTCCTCACATACTAATGAACATATAAAAATATGTACCTACCTAACTCTTAATAGGTGCACGCAATTTAATTAAAAATCATTTTTCCTTTCTACTGTAAAATTGAGTGTTAAGCAGATGTGGTCTCGAAATAACCGAATTAATTATGATTCAGGATTTCAACATGGCTACAATCTACTGTTCCAATTATCCCTGGGAAATTGCTGGCTTCTATAAAACGTATCTTAATTTGTTGTTTTTCTTGTAGAGTTCTAGGAAACCGAATCCATTCCCCTGAGGTGTTTATAATGGTCGTATTTATTTCCTCTATAGCTCTCTACATACTTTGTTGTGACATTGAAATGTTGTAGCTTTGTCCAAATACTCTTTGGTAACTTCCACTGGCATAAAAGGATAACACACCAAAACATTTTATACTGAGCGGTATGGAAACAGGGTTATTACTTTGTACCATACTGGCTTGTATTCTATTTAATACATACTAGGCCATATCTTTATTTAACCGAATTAACTCCACGAATCTTACATTTTCCTTAGAGAATGGATCGCTTGATTCTCTCTCTACTCGCCTATCTATATTTTCCATACGAAAATGTTCCAGTCGTTCCTCCTCTTCAGCAGCTAACATATTGGCAACAAATAAAGACACCATTATTACAAAAACTAGATAATAGAAACTCAAAATCAAAACGGCACCTTATTTGTCAGAAATTGACATACTTGATAAAAAGTAACAAATGTATCTATATTTTTAGATCAGTTAGGCCTTGGTTTCTTTGAACACTCCGTCGCGGTGAGCGGACAGTCCGTCGACCGCTGAGGACAGCAATTTTCGCCCGAGGTGGTTTGTTAAAAAATATAGAAAATGATACTTTCTCTAGGTCTGTACGTGCTGTTTATGTATTATGAATGTAAACGAAAGGTACTAAAATAGATGCAAATAAATTGTTTGCGTTGTTATTATTGTTGGAAGAGGAAGAACAAGAGGAACTGGCAATTGCAACCGTCAAAGTTTCCAATAAGTCAGTGGATGAGTTGTTTTTGTGTCGCGATACAGGCGCCTTTAATATCACTGTGCAGCGGAGGCTTTTTGGAAATGAAACCAAATTTAGGGAGTATTTTAGACTTTCTACAGATCTTTTTGAATTCATGTTGAGAGGACATAATTTCGAAGAAACCTAAAAATAAATTCATGATGTCATCTGTATGTGTGAATTTGTCACTCATTGTTTTAAAATTAATAACAATATAGTCTCCGCACACGCCGACGATTCCGCTGAAATCAAACTTAACAGGTATCAACCGACTCTTCACGACAAATCAGCGGCATGACGCCGTCCTGCTCAGCTAAGCGGATTCAAGAAAACCATTGCTATTTAAATACTCTGGTTGGATAAAGTCGTCACAACGCGACGGTTGACGGACTGATCCGCTCACCGCAACGAAGTGTTTAAAGAAACCAAGGCTTTAGAAAACCTCCGAGAATGTCCGATGTTTTGACATCGACGAACCGACTGTTACACGGAGTACCGGCAAAGCGTTTATAGATTCTAAATCGATTGTAGAAAACTACATGTCGAAAGCGATAAGACACGGAGTGCCGCTCCTGGATTGACTGTCAAAGCCATGTATCTCGATAATACAACTGGTAGAGGCACGGACGGATCTAGTTCGAAGGTTCCAGGTTCAATCATTGATCGATACATTAATTTTTTTCTTTTTTTTTTCTCAGCGTTTTTAATTTTTCTTTGGTTTGTTTTCACTTTAGGGATATATGGTGTATTTTTAATAATTTCGTAGGGGAAATTGGGGATTATATATTTTCATTTTTCCAAAATTGCTTTTTAAACAAGATTTTTTTAAATTATTACATATTTGTTTTATTTCGCCAAATTTCATTATTTAATAAAAATGAACACACATAAATTATCATCAAATGAAATAGTATTAAAAAGTATCAGATTAAATTTCAAACAAATATGAGCAATCCACAAGAGGAGAACCCCCGCGACTTTATTCGGGTCTATTACTTTTTAATAAATTTATACATGATTTGCCTAAACAAACTAACAAATAATTATTCAGTCATTCCTTGTTTTTGGGGCTGAAAATTTTAAATTATTAATTGCTTACCTGCATAATGGCTGTAGTGATCAACAAAGATATCAATACGATCAACAGTTGAGCCATTCCGAGTACAAAGTCACCGACATAGTTGACGGAGGCAATGTTGACGGCATTTTGGAAAATTATTTTGGCGGCTCTCTTTCCGGATTTGTAGAAAGGTTTACCGTGCATGGCTGAAAACAAAATTAATTAAACAATATTATAAACAATATTCATATATTTCGACAGGTCCAGGTTCTTACCTGTAAGAATGTACGAATTCTTGGATAAAAATTTAAGGAACGATTCGATGGTGCCGATGCAGAAGTCGACGCAAGCCTTAAGGTTCTTGTTCTTAGTCAAAGAGGTGAGCAGAGCTCTGATAATGGCGATGATGGTAAGGACCAGTGATCCAAAAGCGATGCTACCAAGATGAAATTTGAATACGATGCTGGCGCTGTCTTTGATCGGGCTTTCCAGGTTATGTTTGTTCCTAGAAACCAAAAACATATTATGTATTCGGCATGGTATCCAGTAGTTAAATTAAATACAGATGAACTCAGTTTTACTGGTAATACGACAAAATTGACACATAGGGAAAAAGGAAAGAAAGAAAAAAGAAACAAACAGGATACTATTCGAATTTACCAAGAGTTATTAAGCTTATTGGGATCTAAAATTAAGTTCGCAGCGCCTTCTGTACTTGACATTTAAACTAAATGTTGTGGCTTGTTATTGTTTACATTTTTGAGTTTGTAAACGGCCCATAAAAAGTATTTTATTTATATTGTGCTATTTTAAGGAAAATATATTGTTGTTAATTTTTAGTGATTAGACACTTTTATTTCAATAATTTTGAGGTTAAAGTAAAAGATATATTTTTATTTGGTAAGTAACCCCCTATTAATTTTGTTTTTGAGTTACTTTTATTCATTTTTTAATTTAAGATATGTATGTTCAATAAAATATTAATATATTTATTCTATTTTTAGTGAGATATCTGAAATAAGACTAATAGAACTTATGAAGTACATTGGTGGAGGTGAAAATTCTAGGACTGTTATTGAAGAAGAGGCCATTCTAAATGCATGCCATATAGTTTTTATGTGGGAAGAATGAATTTAGTGTTAAACATATATCTGTTTAGGTTTGTGCAGTTGTTCTCCAAACTAATGCATTGAATTCAGATCCCCATATTGTTGTAGCCAGTTCTCATTCACAAGATGTAAAAATTGGTAAGTGGCAATGTTCATTGTAAGCTGGTAATAGTGGACAGTGCAAACATTCCAGGAGTCTTAATAAAGTGTTCTAGGTGTAATAATAAAAGAACCATCAAGCTAATTCGATTGAATACCTTATGCATTTTTTCTATACACCCACATGTACTATTTATTCTACGCACAAACTACAGAACGAAAAAGTAAGCCATTGAACGATATATTTATCCATTCTATGAAGAACACTGTACAATTCATATTTGGTTACCAGGATAACATTATTTTTTTAAGTTTTAAATGTGTGACTAATTTTCAGTATATTTTTTAGTTATTGAGATTAAATATAATTACAAATGAGTGATTATTGTGAAGAATCAATAAATAATGGCACTACAGACGATATTCTTTTATATTTTCAAATAAATCTAAAATCAGTTTATGATTATTAAATAAAACACATTATTATGTCCTTGGTACGGAAGAAGAAGATTTATAGCTTCACTTTTATGTTTGCATAAACTATTTGATAATCTTATTAAGGTATTTTTCGCGACATAAACGGATCATGTTGTTCGATCATGTGCGTCTATCCCCCCACCACATATAGCATATGTTGGGGCGAAAATGGAAAATCCATGCTGTTTTGAAAGGGGGCAGTGAGTTGAAGTAACAATTTTTTATTATTTCAATTACTCATGTGTGTGTAAACCACGCGATTTTTCCTGAGAGTCAAAACAGTTTAATTATTTTATATTAATATTTAATGTACCTAAATTGTCTAAAAATTACAACAAATTATACTTGTGCTATTTTAATTACTATATTTTAATTGTTAAATAATTTCGTCACTTTCCTCTACTTCAATTTAAATCTTATTTAATTTAAATTTTAAAATTAAACCCATCTTTTATCTTTGTATACCGTCTGTAGTCATTTGTGAAACACTAGAATTAACATAACCGCCTGTGGATGAGATCATGTTCGAGTATGCTAAACAGTGACGTCATTACAACCTCCCCTCCGGTCCTTGATGTCGGCCAAAATTGAAGATCATGCCTAAATAACATGATCTACCATAAACGTTTATGTTGGTTTATGCCGCGAAAAATACCTTATTGTCTCTCTAAAATGTATTTCAGAATAATTGTCCTTTTAAAATCATCTATTAACATTAACACAAAGTACAAGTATGTATTATTTTTTTTTATTTGTTAGTTTTGATATAAAATTTACTCAGCCATAATTTTAATTTGTAGTTTGTACTAGTTTTTAATCTTAATACTTTTATAATATATTATTTAATTCATGTTACTTATTCTCTTACAAACAAGTGTTGTATGACACTTCACAAGTGTTCTTTTTCGCACATGTTTAACACACTGATGTCTGTTATGTTTTGATATTGTGTAAATAAATTATTATTATTATTATTATTATTATTATTATTATTATATTAATAACATGAATAATTCATGTGATCTCTTCTTTAATACATTAAATGAAAATGCACAGCTTGAAATTTATGTTTTATTTTGTACTTGAGAGAATACTCTTTAATAATTATTTTTATTATTATTAAGTTTACTAGTCATTGTGTACAGTTACATTTTGTAATGAGTGATTGTACATTGATAATGTATTTTTATATTATTCTGTAATGGGATAGTTGAATCTGTTGGTAAAAAAGGCTATTATTATAAGCAATAAATATAAAAATCAAATATTGTTTTATTTTTTCTGTATTTTCTAGTACACTATGTTAAAATTGTTAATGCCAGTGAATAAACACAACTCTTTGTCAGATTTTAAAAGATCTGAAATTGTTTTAATTTTTGGGGTATGCACTTGTACAATAATGTCAATACACTTGAAAAAAAGTATTAGCAACCTCTATGTCTTGTTTATTCTCACTATCACATTTAACACTGATTGAACTTTTTTTAGTTTGAATCTTCTTTCTGTTCTCTCAATATTTGATTGTGAACTTTATCGAACAGAATCCTCAAACATTTACTTAAAAACTGGCATGAAGGCAAAGCGATTTTTTTTATATTTATTTTCACTTGGGATGAGACATCTTCAACACAAAAAAGGTAAAATAAAAACATTCAATCGAAAAATTAATCTATATTACCTCTAGGCAAATAATCATCTTCTTTAAAATGCTGTGCATGGAAACAAACTTTCAAATACTTTGATACTGGCTTTTCAATTTTCAACTTTTGTAACCATGCATTTCTTGCATCCACAAGTTCAGAATTTCCACTTGCATTTTATAAAAATTACCCTACATTTACCAACTTTAGGAAGCAGACGAAATGTAAGAGAAGGATCCATTTTTTTTCTTTCTTTTTTTTTCAGGCTACATTGAGGCACACAACAATTGTATTTTTCACTGGTATTCCAAATAATATTTTAATATATATGATTTGAATTTAAAGCATTAGCTTATTATTAAATAAGATATTTCAATTTGTTAAATATTAAAATAAAATTACATTTATTGACAAGATCTGATAAACAATAAACAAAGCTTGGAAGAACACAGACCGTCTAGTGTCAAATGACCACAACATTTAGTTCAAAGTAGAGGGCGTATCGCTTATCTTCAGATCCTAATAAATACATAAATTTAATTTTCGACTTACTTTGACCAATACCACTTTGCGACTGCTCCGGCGATGACCATGTATTGTATACCGATGATAAATTGCGTAGACCAATATGCTACGATGATGTTGAAGACAAACGTTATCGTCATCACGATGTTTTCTTTGTAGTACAAGTATCCACCGATCAGTTCAGTCAGCGTACCAGCGGTGTAGATATAAAGGGAGAAGAACACCAGCAGACTTAGAATAATCAGTTCGGCGAAGAAAGTCTGTAAACAATTGTAGAGAATATATTTTCAGTTTGTATTTTACGTGACGAATAGTTTTTACGATTCGCTTAAGGTGATTACAGAACCCCTTATAATTTTCGGACAATAATAACTCAAAGAGCAAATTCGTTAAAAAAAAAATTGGACAGTCACTAAAATTCCACGTTAAGTGCTGCCTCCTGGTGTAGTATTGTGCTTGTAATGAAAATGTTGTACACTCTTAGTCGTCATTTGTATCATGCCATGAAAATATAGAGGTGGAAGAGATAGTGTCGAACAAAATGTAGTAGTTTGAGTATGATTTATCAAGATTTTTTTTTATGAAATAGAAACAAAATTTTAAGGAAAAATCATGTTATTTTCTGCTTTGAAAATACAATAAAAATATGTTGTTAATCGTAACAAAATTAATGATGTTTATTAAAATTTTATTGGTATAACCAAAAAGCAATCAATGATGTTTATATCTTTTTATTCATAATCTGACTTTTTACAAAATAAAAATGAACATGAACATAATTTTTACATAAGAAAAAAAATTTAAATTATTTATTTTTGTAAGAGAAATATAATTTAATTCTATTTTATTTTACATTAATTAGAAGTAACTTGGGGTATTGCAGTAAAAAGTTTGGAATACTTGTTATTCTATATATTCGGCTAAAATAGGGTATGTACAAATTTGCATTTAAAAAGGCACGGCCAATATCCACAGAGGCTTTGACTATAATATGTATTATTAAACGAATTTGACTTGCCTTCTTTAAAAAAAACTCGAAAACAATGAAATATTTGCTATTTATTTATGACCCAAGTAATATTTTTAAGAGAATAAAGTTTTATTTATGTTTTATTAGGATTTTGTAAAAGCATAAAAATTAACAATTATTTTATTACAGTTATTCTTTTTACTAATAGGACTGCAGGATAAATTAATCTTATTACTTGGTTTTATAGATTCCTTTAAATCTGTTTAAGGAGGTCCTTTGGCCACACCTCTCGCCTCAAATGTTAAAAAAAAAGTTATTAGATTATGACTAAAATTAATTTTTTTCTAATAGTTGAAGTCCTTATTTATCTAATACTGAACTTTTAACTATACCTTACCTTGCAAATTTTTGAGAATTTTTTTTTTTAATTTGTACAGTGCCTCACGAGAAAGTAAGTCCTCAACAACAATTCTCGAATTATACTATTATTTATTGATTAGATGGAGTAGAAAAAAACTAAAAATAAGGTTTTTGAAATATTTAGATTTTGTTTTATACAATATATATAGTAAACCGTGGAACTTATTGAGAAATTAATATTAAAAAATCACAAAAAATTTTCAAGTAACCTAGTTGAAAATTTTTTAATAATAATTTCTCAATAAATTCCACGGTAACCTATATATTTTATTGTAAAAAATAAAATAGAAAATGAAAAACAAAATGTATATGTTTCTCCTTCTCCTCAGTGTTTAATAAGTTCATTGTGTTCTATTGTTTAACAAATATCAAAACATTCCTAGGCTCCTAATATTCTGAAAATGATCAGTAAAAGAGAAAAATGGTTAACATATTATTAATTTTTATATTTTGAAGTAGAGTAAATAAGAAGCTCAAGAGTGAGGTTAGGTTATTCCCATCTGATTAAACTTATGAATGTTTTATTGATGTTTTCGTTTTTACTATTGTTTTATGAAACGCTTTAAAAAGTGTAGCAGGAGCTTTTTAAATTTGGAAAGTCCTAAAAAGTATTTTTTTGCTTTATTAGTTTTATAAGCTAATGTCAGTTTTTAGGTACAGATAGAACACAATGAGGAAATCCTCCATTTTAAATATGGCAGTGGCTGTTTAACCACATATCATGTAAAATAGTACCTGTCTACCAGACCTGTACCTAAAGGATATTCAAATCAATTATAGTCAAAGTGCAAATAATTCTAAAATCTTTCGATTTTAGTAATGACGTAGTTTGTATACCAAAAACAGTGATAGTGTGCCAATGACAACATTGTGCCAATGACAGTAGATTTATTATTTATGATTGCGTTTACTGCGTTTAACCACATAATGTCAGATTTGTCAAATATATCTACAGCTAATTCCTTTTAGGTATATAAATGTAATTTATATTGGAATATACTATGATATAATGTTATAAAACTCTTGCCTCGCCTAAAGTAATTTATGATTAAACACAAAGTTTGTTTCTGACAGTCCAGTAGGTAGTATGCGCAATTGAAAATGGATTTCTGACGATGGCAAGTATCCATGCAAAGATAATTTTACAATAGGATTTATATTGACGGTTAAATAGTCACTTCCATGAAATAATTTGAAAAAAACAAAATGTGATATTTTATATGAAAAACATATCGAAGACAAATTTAATTATTTTATAGTGCTATATATTCGATATTTACAATGTTATTTTCTATTAAATAACTTTCTGTAAATAGATTAGGATCCGTATAAAATCATTTTTCACGTATGTTTTATATATTGTAAGGCCCATCATTTATTACGACCCACCTTGCCCACTTTTAACAGTACTTTGGTGTGTGTTTGAAAATTAAAGAAATAACAAGTGTAACTAAACAAATAAACATAATAATTAATTTCTAATATGCCAGTCTTCCCAACATGTTTGCAAAATCATTCTGTCAGAGAGTATGATAAAACAGAATGAAGAAAATACAGTTTAAAATTTAATTCTCTTAAAACTGATTAGTTTTGTAAAGTTTTTATGCCTATCCCACTTATTATCATAATCTTAAAAAGATTTAAAAATGTTTTAATAAAATTCTTAATATGGACTTTGTCTTAAGTCTAATTAGTCTTAAGATATTGTTTTAAAAATACTCCTAAGAACCGTTATAGGATTCTTCCTTTTACTCTTAAAGCAGATTTATAGCAGCCCTAAGGCTATCTCGCGGATTCAAAAGTTTTATTAGTGTCTTAAAAAAGGGTTTTATGGTTACCTTGTATACTTTGATAAATCTAAAAATGTTACTTGGGGAGTTAATAAATGTTCCAATGGATTCGTCACCTCTTTTTTCTTTATTGGACATTTAAGTTACCGGAGTTACTTTGCTTTACAATATTATAATTTGTAATATATGAATTTAAAACAATAAGCATCATTTTTATTCTCCAGTATCAGTATGTATAGAACATACAATCAAGTAACCTCTGTGAAATTATTTGTTCTCTCTGTTAAACACATACATATTTTTAACAATACATACGCCTCTGTGCAAGTAAGCACGGAGAAATAAAAGATTTTAAAAAACATCGGATGCAATCAATTAAATTTCCGACATAGCGACGCTCATGTTACTGCGCAAGCGTCATTTTAACATGGTGCAACAACAATCTTCAGCAAGCCAGTTATAAGCAAATTGTACAAGTAATAACCACAAATATTTAAATAATTTTTTTTATTTTAAAGGATGAACTAAATACATACATTTTTCACACACATCTTACTCGAAACATTTTTTTAAAAATATTAATTGCCAACGAAAATACTGAATAATTAAAATTTTACACTTTTCCTAAAATTTTTCCATTACGGTCCATTGTAAAGAAATCATGGAACAAGAAATATAGAAAATAATATCACAAACAACTTTTATAATGACAATAATTTTCAACGATTTCTAGGAACCACTTTTGTAAAAAAAAATATCAGTTCTGAAGGATAAATAATAATAATACTCTCCCTAATTCACCCCCTTACGAGTAAATTTTAACCCCAAAAGCTGTGCTTGTGCGGGGAAAGGGACGACTATTTTTATTATTTGCCGTGGCGCTCCGGGGCGACTTAAAGATGATTGATGGTGCCATTTGACTTACAGGTGAGGAAACCCCAGAAAACCTCACCCACCATCATATCAAATAGTTCCTTAGATATGGACATTGTTATTTGGACACCAGGTATAGTTCCTAAATAAAAAATTTGGTTATATATGTTTTACTTACGATTATGGGAACGAAAATCAGTAACGGCATAGCAAAGGCGGCCTTGGTAGACTCCTTCAGTAATTGTATCACCAACTGGATCTTCTTGTACATGAAAATCATCACGAATACCAGAACTAACCATACTGCCGAGAAAAATATGGCCAAGAACAACAAGCTCGATTTACCCCCTTTGGCGCTGCTCGTGTCCATGCTTTTTGGAGGGTTTAAGTAGAACCACCTAAAAGTCAAGAAAGTTGGTTTCATTTTTTAAACAAGTTCTTATACAGTATTTATTATTTTGTATTAGGCTTAGCCGCGCTTTTACAGTTAACATGAGGCAACTACGATATCCCCGCTATCGCTATGTTCTCTGCTTTGTGACTGATATTCGGTTCGGCTAATATCCTACCCAAGGATACTTAACTTCTGTTAGGTTTGGCCAATCCTATATAGTATAGGCTGATTCAAAAAAAAATATTTTTTTTTTCGAAATCCTCATGTAAAAACTTTCGAGAAGGTGTTAAAAGATACCTGTGAAAACGAGAGCGATTAATATTAAGAGGTCGCGAATCGCAGATTTCTATTTCCCATTTAAATAACACGGAAATTTATTTTTTAATTTTGGAATATTGTAACTCTTAAGCGGTTGAATGGATTGTCAAACCAAAAATTATTCTTATAGGAAATTTGACGCTCTACAAAAAAGTCTTTGGAAAATTTTTGATTATTTTAACCATGTAGAAGTTATTCGAGGTCAAAATTAAAGTTACAAAAAAATTCTATCTTTTTTTTCAGATTTCGATGAAATTATCAATTTTTTTAAAATATTTTGTTCTGAATCACATTTTAAGTTTCGATCATTTAGTGAGTATTTTAAGTCTTTTATATAAATTCTTTTGTCATAAAAACTTTTACTTAGACACTTTTTATTTCACGAATCAGCTGAAGTTATTTAATTCATAAAAAATTTCCAACAGTAATTTATTGTAAAATAAAGTGCACTTTTTTACCGACATAACCAAAAAGACAAAAGTTATGATTTTGCTTTACACTGTGTCACATTGTTTTGACATTTTCTTTTGAATTTTTCCTTGGATAGTGCTATTTATAGTTTTGCTCTGTAACTTTATAGTTATTTTGTTAATTATTCCATCGAATATAATGGATTTAAAAAAATACTTATTCGCTGAGATTCAGGAAAATTTTGTTGGTCGAAAATTACCAACAAATAAAGAGGTTCTGTCAGTATTTTTATATCAGCATTTTATACATAAGCTAACATTAAAACAAAGTGCTTCGGTTACAATAAAAAAGTTGAAGAGAAATGGTTGCAAGCTGAACTTCCAACTTGTAAAAATTTTCATGCTGTGCAAAAAGTTTTAAAGTTATTTAATCAATGGTTAAAACTCAAAAAAAGTCAATACAGAAAAAAGTCTCCAACGCAGAAAAAAAACGAGGCAATGTTTAAAGAAAAATTTGGTAAATTATTCGATATTGCTCGTTTAGATCCAAAGTAGAAACTTGACGATACAAAGCAACTATTTTTAGAAGCTCAAAGATCTACCAAGCGTTATGGATTTATTGACCCAAGTGTTTCAAACGAAAAAACTGATCAAGATACTATGGATGTTAATGGTTATTAATCATTTTATTTCCTAGAAAAAAATTATTTATTGCATTTAGTATTTCAAATAGAATTCTGCTTAATCCAATGTCTATTTTTTACCAAAAATATTTGTTAATACATATTATTTCCACAGATATTGATCAGCCTATATTTGACAATCAAGTTTAGGATAGTGGTGCTCTGGTACGTGTCCAATCGTCAACTGATACAGAAATAACATTTGGTAGTCAGAAATCAGCAATCGTTTCTGACTATGAACCTCCTTTCAGTCAGCTTAATCCGCCTCCCAAAATTGATGACATGACTCCTGAACTTGCATCTGCCCTTGATAGAGCAAACGTTAGTAACCGAAATGCTACTTTTGTTTTAGCTGCTGCTTACCAAAGTATTGGAATAAATATAGAAACATTAAACTTAAGCTATAGTACTATTCGACGAGGTCGTATAGAGTTTAGAAAAACTATCGCTGAACACTTGAAAAATGAGTTCAAAGATGAAGATCGTTACACTGTTCATTGGGATGGCAAGCTTCTAGCTGATTTGGCTGGTTCTGAAACTGTAGATAGAATTGCAATCATATTATCTACTTCGAATGTTAATCAACTCCTCGGTGTACCAAAAATATCTGATGGAACTGCAGAAAATAATTCTGTAGCAATACTAAATTCATTGGAAGAGTGGAAAGTTACTTCTAACATCAAGTCAATGTGCTTTGACACTCCAGCAGTTAATACTGGTATGGTTTGTTTTGTTATCTTATTCAAATGATTGAAAATTAATAGTTGACATTATTTTTTTGCTCTAATTTATTGGACTTATCTATAATCCAGACATTTACACTTAATTTATAGGAATACGAAATGGTACAGCTGCGTTGATTGAAAAAAAATTGAACCGGAAACTAATTTGGTTACCTTGTCGCCACCATATTTTTGAAATTATTTTGAAAGGAGTTTTTGAAGTTTTCTGGCCGACAACTTCTGGTCCTAACGTTCCAATTTTTGGACGTTTCAAACATTTTTGGAGCGAAATCGATCAATCGAAGTACCAAAGTGGCATGCAAGATGAATTAATTGCAAATACATTTTTAACGAACAGACTTGAATTGATTAACCTAATTAATAATTTATTAAAGGTATATTAATATTTTGTGCTCGAAACAGTTGAAAATTTGCGTTTGATGATTTCAATTAACGATTTTTTTATTAAACAGGTTGCTCAGCCAAGAAATGATTACAAAAAACTTCTCGACTTATCATTGATTTTTCTTGATGGTCTCCCAGAAGGTACAGCAAGTTTTAAATGCCCAGGAGCAATGCATCATGCACGATGGATGGCTAAAGCGATTTACAGCTCAAAAATCTTCATGTTCAGAGGTCAATTTCCACTTTCTAAACGAGAAATTGATAGCTTGCGTCAAATATGTACTTTTATTATTTTAATTTACGTCAAAGTATGGTTTACTTGTTCTGTGGCAATCCAAGTGCCGAATAATGATCTGCAACTGTTGAAGAAGTTACTTTCTTGCCCAGAAATTCAATTGCCACTGCTACAAAAAGCTTTAAAAAAATTAAGTGCTCATCTATGGTACTTGGATGAAGAACTAGCAGCACTCGCATTATTTGATAACAAATGTCTCAGATGAAATAAAAAGAAAAATTTGTAGAGCGATCAGTCAAAATGAGCAGAGTAACATTATCAGAGAGAAACGATACGTCGCTAGAGAACTTGATTTAATGTCATTTTCAAACAAAGATTTGAGTGAATTTGTTTAGAAAAATTCACTCAAACTTTTCGAAACATTTGATTTACCATGTGATTTTCTAGAAGTAGATGTATCGTTGTTGCCTAACAATGAAAGTTATAAAGAGAATTTAGATTTTTTTAAACAACTTTCTGTGGTTAATGATGTAGCAGAACGTGGTATCGCTTTGATTGAAGATTACAACTGTTTAACCAAGAACAATTACAGTATCTTTTGCAAGTGGTTAAAGAACATCGTCGTCGTTTTCCGGACTGTAATAAAAAACCTTAATATAGTCTGGGTTTAAGAATACTATTGATTGGAAATCTAAAACTGATAATTCATAACTGATGTCCTTAACTATTTATAAATGTAACTATAGAAAAAAGTGACCAGAAGAAGCAAAATTTTGAAAAAAAATTAATAATATTAATAAATAGTTGAAAAAAAAATGGAATTTTATTGTAATTTTAACTTTGACCTCGAATCACTTTTACATGGCTAGGATAATCAAAAAAATTTCCAAAGACTTTTTTGTAGAGCGTCAAACCTATAAGAATAAGTTTTGGTTTGACAATCCATTTAACCGCTTCAGAGTTACAAAATTTCAAAATTAAAAAAAAAAAATTTCCGTGATATTTAAATGGGAAATAGAAATCTGCGATTCGCGACCTCTTAATATTAATATTAAGGGCTCTCGTTTTCACAGGTATCTTTTAACACCTTCTCGAAACTTTTTACATGAGGATTTCGAAAAAAAAATTTATTTTTTTTTTTGAATCAGCCAAATATAGTATGTACGTCATTGCCAGACCAGATATTTATAAATTTCTGTGTTGTTTATACGTTTGTACATGGTTTTTTAGTATTTTTTTGGACTGTTTTTGTAACTTTTAAATAGATTTTAAGGTGTTTTTATAAAGAGTATTTTGGTAAATCAACTTAGTATTTTGGTAAATCAACTTAGCTTTATTATAGGTAAGTTCTATAGTGGCAAAAATGATTGTTTTTAACTAATTATAGTGTTATTTTTTTAGGGTTTGAATGGGCCAGACAGACGGTTGATCAGTAATTATAACAGCAGCCATGTGAAAACAAAATTAGATACCCCAGATATAATTTATCATGATTTTCAATTGGAGGAAGATTTTGTTTCACACAGAATAAAACAAGGGTGCATTCAGAGGTGCCGTAGAGCCGATAAATGGAATCCCACAACAAGCCAGATTTGTTCTGTCCTTTTTATCGGCAATGATTATGAAAGAGATCTTCATAATAAATTATTGAGTAATTGGGTTTGCCAGTGAGGAGGCGATTAAAGAAAACTACAGTTCTTACATTAATTCTTGGGAGTAATGAAAGTGAAGATAAAACGGGAAAGTTGGATTTAAAAAAGAGAACAGAAAAATAGGGTGAATAATTGTTTAATAAGAATATATTAAAATTTCCACACATTTAGAGCTTAATAAAAGCAGTACAATAATTGAGAGTGAAAACAGTGTCGTTGAAATTGTTAACTGGGAGCAAAAATATAGTAAGCTTAAAGATGATTTTAAAATTATAAAAAAAGAAAAGGCCAATATATTTATACAAGTAAAATAATTAATTTTTTATAAAAGCAAATATCAGAGACTCTTGAAACAAAACAAAGAAGAGAAAACAAAAAAAAACGAAAAAGAAAACGAAACGTGTTGACTGGACATTTGAAGAGGCTGCAGATTTTTACAGAAAAGAGGCTTATCTGTAGAAAAATAAGTTTGCTCAAAAATAGCAAACGACCTTTTATGCTTTTCAGTCATAAAACTAATTTAATATCCGAGACCTAGGTGACACCTTTTATTTTAGCTCAACCTAATTTTAATTTGTGTACTTTTTAAGTGCTACATGTACTATTTGGGGCACAATGTGTACTAGGGTACAACATTTTTTCAGTGGTTTACCTCTACACTACACTAAAATAGTAATGTTTCAATAATCGGTGCAGTAAAAATGGAGTAATTAATTTTCTGATGATGGTAGTAGTATAAATTGTCAATTATGTTAAGTTTTGTTTGTACTATATTTATTTTTATATTCAAATCTTTTGACTTGTCCTGTACATAAAGGATCAATAAAAAATTATTGTTTTTAATTTGTGATGCTTGTATTTTTCGTATATATTATGTAGGTATTTCATTGAGAATTTAATAAAGATGTGATTGATTATCACCGTTCAACACAAAAATCCTCTTTATAAAAATATCGTGTATTTTGTAACATTTGGACATTTTAACTAATATACAACTGACCCCCAAATGTTTATATTGGCCTCAGATTTCTTGGAAGGGTCGAATAGGCCCATTAATAGGTAATAAACGGTCGCCCCATTGTTATTTGCAGGTAGTTGGATCTATGCTTGAAATATCCCTTTAGTCGTTACCAGAAAATCATTTAGAAAACATCTATTCATATTTTCGCTTAGATCTACGTGCGTGTTAAAACGGTACCAAAAATGTCGATGCGCGTTTGCGTACCAAAACCCGATATCTTCATTGGTAAAAAAGGCTTATGAACTGTACTTTGGATGCAAAGTTGGCGATCAAGATAGGTACTGGGCCCCAAAAATGTGTTGCAGTTCGTGCTCGAGAACATTGACTGGATGGGTGAAAGGTACTCATAAATCTATGCCATTCGCAGTTCCAATGGTTTGGAGGGAACCTCGTAATCACGTAGATGATTGTTATTTTTGCATGACGAATATTAAAGGAATTACTAACAAAACCAAGCGTAGCATTCAGTACCCAATATTCCTTCTGCAATGCGACCAGTGCCCCATGACAACTCATTACCCATTCCCCAGCCACCTCAGAGTTACACGCTTGATTCCGAATCAGACTCCGGAAGTATTTCAACAGAAGCCGGACCAAGCTACATCCCTAGTTGTCATGATTTGCTTGATACACCCCATTTAATAACTCAAGGTGAATTAAATGACCTTGTTCGTGACTTGGACCTCCAGAAAACAAAAGCTGAACTTCTCGGATCCCGCCTGCAGCAGTGGAAGCTCTTGGAAAAAGGAGTGAAGGTGTCCATCTACAGGAAAAGGCAATCTACTCTCACAATTTTTTTTGTATAGGAAATTGATTTAGTATTTTGCCATGACATACCTGGCCTAATGACTGAACTGAACTTACCATATACTCCCGATAAATGGAGACTATTTATAGATTCATCTAAAACAAGTCTAAAAGCTGTTTTACTTTTTAATGGAAACGAGTATTTATCGATTTCTATAGGTCATTCGGTAATAAATATGAAAGAAACATATGACAATCTTAAGATGTTACTAAGATGCGTAAAGTACGAAGATCACAAATGGAACTTATGTGCAGATTTAAAAGTGATGGCGTTACTGACAGGACTGAAATCAGGATATACAAAATACTGTTGCTTTTTGTGTGAATGGGACAGCCGTGCAAGAGACAAACATTATAAAATTAAGGTTTGGCCTCCTCGTGACACAATACAAGTTGGAATTAAACATTTGACCCGAGAACCATTAGTTCATAAAGAAAAAATATATTTATCTCCACTTCACATTAAGCTGGGTCTGATCAAAAATTCTGTTAAAGCACTGGAATGCTTTCAAGTATTTAAAAGACAAATTTCCACGTATAAGTGAGGCCAAAATTAAAGAAGGAATTTTTGTTGGTCCCCAAATTAGGCAATTGTGTAAATGTGTAAAGATGCGAACTTCAGGCAAATTTTAAGTGACAATGAAAATCGGGCATGGAATGCATTTGAAAGTGTTTGCAACAATTTTCTTGGAAATAATAAATCAGAAAATTATCGTGAACTCGTGGAAGAACTACTCACGGCCTATCATCCCAGCTAACAAAGTAGCTTTATAATTTTTAGTTTACAAGACTATTATATTTTATTGATATTATATTGCTGTTTCTGGAATGCTAATTTATTGTACTACAGTTGTAGAAATCACTATTTTGTTCTCTGAAACTAAATAGTTATATAAATTAGTTTTTACAATATTCTTACAGCAAAATTATAAAATAGTTTTCACGAAACTATGAAATTGTTACATACACATTTATACAACTGTTCTATACAATATTTCAGCTTATAAAATAAAATTGCTTTATAGTTATTCTATATTATTGTTCTGGATTACCTTTAGAACTTTTTGGTCATACAAATATAACTGTTTCTTAACCTCATAATAACGCTTTATAAAATAGTTATATAAATATTAGTGTGAGATAATTCCGCATCAATAGCAATTTGCTTCTGATGAAAACTCTAAAATAACTGTAATATATTGTCGAAATATACTATTACAAATCAGAAAACTGTATAGCAATTATTTTAGTTAAGAATAGTATTATTTATAAAAAAATAAAGCAACTACATTTGGTAGTACCTACGCCATATTATTTTTGTATTTTATGTTTGTTCAACTACTTCCCATACCAATTGTATGTGAGTGTATGGTCTGAAAATGTCAGATTTAAATAGTGAAGAAATATAAAAAATAAGTGGTACCTGCTTTTCAGAGAACAGTAAAAAATATTAGTAAAACATTTTGATGGTTTGTCTAGACACTCAAAAAAAAAAAACTATCATTTAGCCAGATAATAATTAGGTATGTTCTGAATAATCATGCCCCAATACTAAAAGAAAGCCATATTTTTGGCGATGTCCATGTTAAATTTGCTTATTCTCGTAATATTAAAAATTATGCTTGCTCTATAAAGCTGTAGAAACAAATCTAATCATTTCAATTCCCAAATACTTAAATCGGAAACGATTTAGTAAGGTTATGTTATATTTTGTCATATAGTGCAGCAATATGAAACTATTATACAACAAACCATGATGAACTTGTTTTGTAGAAATGAGTAATACAACTTAATTATTGTATTACAGCTGTTTTTACTACAATAATATTTTATAATTATGATTCAGTCTTAAAATAACTTTCTAATACCTCTGAATAGCCGCCATATTTAACACAAACCTAAGACAGTTTTAAAGCTAAATCTACTGTCGGTTTTACTAGTATTTAAGACAAAACCAATGTTAATTAAAGATTTTAATCATTAGTAATATTAGCATAATCTTATTACTAAAATCAAATTGCATAAATTTAATTTTTGTTTCACACTGAAAAAGTATTAGAAATATGAATCAAACTCGAGGCGCTTAAAAATTTAGTATTGTATGTGCTATATAATTAACAGTAATTCTTGCTGCGCATCCAAAAACGACTTTATTGTAGGTCATACATTATGTCTAAACCGCGTTATAGATATCTCTTAAGTAGATACTGCCATTTTACTAATATCGCCTTGAATTTACTTTTATGACAAATATAGAATTAATTTGTTTTCACCAGATACATTTAAAAAACTAAAATGTTACTGATTTTGATATGCAACCTAACCTCAAAATTGAAAATTTATAAAACAGTTATAAAAGTTTAAAAAAACATTTGTTTAAAGTTTGTGTAAATGTGTAGTAACTGTTCGGTAACTGCATTCAACAAATCTTATAGAATTTACAAAAGAACCAAATAGTTCTGTAATACTGCGCCCATTTTGTGTTTATTACTGTTGAAAGAATGTTCCGGAAATGTTCTTAGCTAATATTCTATTTTATAAATTTTGTTCTGTAAACATTTTTTCAGCTTTTATAAAATATCAAATTGTTACTTGGGATATTTTAGAATGCAACATGTCACTAAAACTTCACTTTCTCCATTCTCATTTGGACTTTTTTCCAGAAAATTTAGGAGCAGTATCAGATGAGCAAGGAGAACGAATTCACCAAGATATTGCCTCCATAGAGAAAAGGTATACAGGAAAGTGGAGCCCGAATATGTTAGCCAACTATTGCTGGACCCTAATATGAGACACATCCAGGAGTTCTTATAAAAGAACGACTTATGGAAGTAAATATTAAATTTTAAATTATTTATAAATGTACCTAAGCTGTTAATAAAATATATTATAGGTTTTTAATTGTTTAAATTTAATAAATCGGCATTGAAAGGGGTTTTTATTGACTTTTTCTTAATATTAAAGCATATGTCCCTCCTTTATCATTGGAGGCTGATATCGAAAATCTGAGGCCAGATCCGGATTCAGCAGGCCAAAATCTATAAAATCCAGCCAAAATCATTTCAGGGAGGAAAAAAAGTTTTAAAATGTTCGTCAGTGTTGTTATTAAATGTGTGCTATTAGAAATGTTCTGAAAAATATTATGCAATCACCGCCCACAATTGCTTGTATTGTAACATGGTCGTTGAAAGCAAATATACACACGTATTTTTATTATGTGAATTCTAATAATAAAGATTTTTTCTTATCGTGTCCCATTTATTTCGAAATAGGTACCTCAAACGGATTATATTAAAAAAAGGGTTTATTACATGACATTCACTATTGCTATTCTCATTTTACACGAAATATAAGCCAGAGAGCAGTTTATAATCGTGTTCATTTTTAATTTTATGAATTCGATGGTCCGGCAACTACGTCATTTTCCCGAATATTTCCGATGACACACGATGCATTGAACAATCCTATAGAGAGCCAAGTATCCTTTATCTCATCACCATATCTTCTAATTCGAAAAAATAAGCACTGTATATCAAAACAACATGCTTTGCTGCTTAAAATTTAAAAAATGTAAATAATGATGTAATATAAAGAGTAGCAGTATCTTTTGCTTTATAACTTGATGGTTTCCTGTCTAAAAGAATAGTTTTAAATATATATACTAACCACATTCCACCTACGAGGATCGCTCCAAAGAGTAGTACACCACCCAAAATACCCCAAACGACAGCAGCTGTGGCAGTTTTGAAGAGAACCAACATTATAATGCCCACTCCTAAAAATAATAAATAAAACATTTCAAATTTCGACAAAAATTTCACACTTAACATTTATGACCAACTAAAAGCCTGTATTTTGTATCGCTACCATAGCAACTAGTATTTTATTAAAAATGAAGTTTTTATAAAATCGGTTATTTGATTTTTTGAAAGACAAGCTTCAAATTTCAAATGAATTACTTTTTATTTGAATTATAAAGAAATATTATTGTGTGAATGGTTTATTTTAAACATTTTGGATTGGGGTACGGTCTTGAAATTTTGGAAAGCCGTAGTTTTTCTGTTGGCAAACAATTTTTACTTTTTATACATAAAAATCGTTAGAAGAAATAAAGGGACTGAAAAATTGAAACTAAAAGATACTGATAAGATATTAGAAAAATTATTCTGCAAATATTCAGTTAGTGGCGGCTCGTGAGGTAGTGCCACTGTGCCATGGCACTACCCTATTTTTGATGCAAAAATATATTTTTTATTTTCAATACGTCTTATCATATTTTTATTTTATGCATTTCTTTTTATATTCAAAATTATTTGAAATGTGGCAATCTCGCGCTGCATAAATCTCCAAGTTCTTGCTGCGTACCGGAGCCATTTCTAAGCTGGCACTAGGGGAGAGAGACAGATTTAACCAGCAGCTTATGTGACCAAGAGAGATGGGGACATTTTACATGACGGTAAAATCAAGGAATATTCGTGCCAGGCGCAGCGCCGATAGCTGTTCAGATAATCGCGGTTTCTCGATAATATCGATTGTAACTGAACCGAATTTCTTTAGACGCTTTTAAGTTTTTCATTAGGCTACGAAGTATTAGTGACGTTAATGTGTGTCTGTTTGTTTTTGATAAACTTGTTTAAATATCTTATTTCCTAGTTTTTAATTTATTGTGATAATGAATAAAATTGGCGTCTTAAAAAACTCTTTTAGTGGTTTTTCGCTAAAAGAAAAACTACAAATTAAAGAATTAGGCCGGCCGATTCCCGATTTAAAAATTGAAAAACAAAGTGAAAGTCGGCAAAAATCGCGGTGTCGTAAATTTATTAAAACTATTTATGATAAAAATAATAAGTTGTGTGGTTGCGAAAAAATAATAAACTGTTTTGTTTTGTATGTGTTTTGTTTGGAGGTGACGAGACTTGGTCAAAAAAAGGCACAGACGATCTTGTCCATATATGGGATAAAATGAAATCCCATGAAAAATCTAAAGTGCACATGAATAATGTTTTTAGCTTTTCCATGCTTGGTAAGTTAAATATAAAAACCCAGTTAAATTCGGCTTATCGTGATGCTCTAATTAAACATAATCAACATGTGGATAAGAATCGATATGTTTTAAATCAAATTATAAATTTTATAAGGTTTTGTGGAGCTTTTGAGTTAGCTTTAAGGGGTCACGATGAGAAAGATAATTCGGAAAATAGAGGCATATTTAAGGAGCTGGTGCATTTTAGCGCCGAATTAGACAACGACTTAAAGGTTCATATTCAAAGTTCAAAAGCTTTCAAAGGTACCTCAAAAACAACCCAAAATGAACTTCTTGAGTGCATGTTAGATGTTTATCACGAAGAAGTTAGGAAAGAAATAGAAAATTCTCCTTTTGTTGCAGTGATTGCCGATGAAACGACGGACGTTGCTTGTGAATTTCTTCAATTAGTTATAGTTTTCAGATATTTGTGTAAAGGACGACCAGTTGAGAGATTTTGGAGGTTTTACATGCTCGATGGACACGACGCCAAATGAATCGCTGAATGCATTTTAAATGTTTTACATACATTACTAAAACATAGTCAACTAAGTTAATTGCTCAAAGCTATGACGGCGCGTCTGTAATGAGTGGTGGATTAAATGGTGTGCAAGAAATTATTAAACAAACATATCCTCTTGCAAATTACGTTCACTGCTATGCACACCAGATGAATTTAGTTTAGTGCATGTACTGTCAATAAACAGGCTAGAATAGTTTTTTCTAATTTATCTGGTTTGTGCTCTTTCTTTTCCACGTCTCCTCAAAGAACAAAAATTTTGGATGAGGTAGGTACTTAGTTAATCGCAGATTGCCAAGATCTTCCCAAACACGTTGGAATTTTCAATTCATGCGATTCGTCGTCTATTAATCAAGCAAGTGGGTACAAATTTAAACTTCAGGATAAAAATTTTATATTTTGGTTAAGTATTTTTATCAAATAATGCCTCACGTGGAAATTATTTTTAACCAATTACAAAAAGTATGCACAGATTCTGTTAAGGTCAAGAAAGATTTGGAGAATTTCGAAGCTGCAATTCAAGGTATACTGGAGCAAATGGACAGCATTATTGACAATATTCAAGGAGAAATAAACACGTCGCAAGGAAAAACTGGTGAAACAATAAGAAAAAAGGCACGAAGAGAACAGCAGAAAACGCGAAGCCTTAGAAATTTATTTATGTCGGAGAAGTTTTCGGTCTATAGGCATCAGTTTCCCGAATCATTCCTCAATGAAACATGAATACAATTTTCATTTTTAGACAAAAATGTGCTTAAAAATAAATTACAAGTACTGTATCAGAGAGACGAATTAAGTACCACCTCCGGAGCTGTCCCGCTGTCAATTTTATTAAATGAGGAAGGTTGAAATTGTACATTTCAGGAAACTCTTAAACTTTTAGGTATTTTAATAACAATACCTATGTCAACATCTGAAGCAGAGCGCTGTTTTTCAATGCTTAAACGGATTAAAACATTCCTCAGAAATACAATGAAGAGAGAAAGACTTAGTGCTTTAGGTATGTTGTCCGCAGAAAAACATTTTCCAAATGGAATTGAAAATTTTAATAATAAAGTAATTAAAAACTTTGCAACCAAAAAAGAAAGAAGAATGGACTTCATTTATCGGAAAATTTAAAACTAGTATATCAAGCAACTTTGGGCGCTGTGTAAATACTGTAAATAGGTATAGTTTTATTTTTGTAATTTTTTTGGTTTATATACCTAAAGACTCTTTATGGTAATAACAAACTGCAAGGACTTTCAGCATTAATTATTGGGGGTAAGTTAATTTATAATTGTTAATTAATTTTACAGAGTTCTTTGATAAGTTTTGAGTAATTTATTGGCAAAGTTTAGGATAAGACTAACCCTGACGGCCTGTTTCGTGGCAAAACTTGTGTTATAAAATTTATAAATAGTAGTCATAATAATAGATATAAAAGTTTCCGTCCTTCATTTATTTTTTAATTAAAATTTTATATCTATTTTGACAATACCGTGATAAATTTTTGCCCAAAGGCAGTTTTTTAAACGACTTTTGGTTAAAAATTTGGGCGTGGCACCCCAAAAAATTTTTCGCCTCTGGTGGGGGGCCTCCGACAGGGCGCCTTCAGCGGGGTTTTCACATTTGTTAAAAATCTGGCACTACCAACCCGTATTATCACGAACCGCCACTGCATTCAGTATTATTAAATTAATTGCAGCTTTGTCCACTCTATATTTAAAAGCAGATGAGATGGTTTCTTACAAAAGAACCAAGAGCAAAAAAGTCAAAACGATTTACTAAAAGAACATACATTTTTGAAAAAAGGGTTTGCTACAGGAAATTTTTAGTAAAAAGTACATAATTACAAATCATTTTATAGACGAAAACAAGGGCCTTTTTGAATTAAGAAGAAATATTGAATGCATTCACGAGAAGACATTTGAATAAAAGGTGCTTTCTATAACTTTTTTGACGACTTGAATCTTTTTTTGTACGTTTGGCATCACGTACTGCTCTTGCGTTTTTAAACGTTATGTCAGAAAACGGACCAAATTGAACTATTTATTTTTCATAATACATTTCCTGTAGTTGTTTTCCAGTTGAATTCCACATTACTTTTACAACACTTTCTTTGTACTCTTCCGAATTTGCTTTTCTCATATTAAATCAATAATCTAGAATACTAGACAGTTTTTCAACAGGTAACTTTTTGTGTATATTATAAGACTTCTCATCGCAAAAATATAAAATAGTTACAGGAAAAGAACACTAATTATCCAATCAATGGTATGAAATATCAGATTTGGGAAGTTGTACGTCAAAATGTACCACGAAAATAATTCCACCTAGATAGAGGAATATGGGCAAAAAATATTAAGAACTCCTCCATATCACTGCCAGTACAATGCGATAGAGATGGTATGGTCACAGTGCAAACAGTTTTATGACGAAAAAACAACTAAGTCGTCACCGAAAGAGAGAAAGAAAAAAAGCTGTTCTGTCAAAAAAGAAATTAGTGAAGAGAAAAGTGCCTAGTAAAACCTCAAGTGACGAAGAAGAAGAGGAAGAAAAGATAAGGAAACTGATGACTTCTGAAAATTCTGATGATGACATTGACATTATTGGTGAAATTGATCCTTCTTCATTGCTAGACCAGCTCAAAAAAGATCCCGAACCAGGTGATTTTGTTTTGGTTTTGTTTAAGGACAAAACGAAAAGTATTATGTTGCTGAAGTTTTAAATAAAAAAGATACAACTGAATACAAAGTGAAATTCATGCGAAACTCAATAAAATATAGAAATAGCTTTATTTTTCCTATAATAGAAGATATATCTCATGTAAAAATTGGCCAGATTAAAATGGTACTTCCAAGGGCGGCACAGGTGAGATCAACCAAACGGCAGCACGCATATTTAAAGTTTGAAGTAAACTTTGCAAACATAGACACTCGATAAAACTGTTGTTCAATTGTGGAACACTGTATGTCTGATTCTGGAACATACATGTTCCACAATCGGACATTTTGATTTATATTTTTGAAGTTAAATTATTTTTTTGTTTTGATACAAACATATTTTTTTAAATTCAAAATATTACAGTATTTACTCCTAAGTTCATAGTTTTATAAATAAATATAAAAATGGAAGCAAATTATATGTTTTTTGTCTGATTGTGGAACACTTTCACCTACGCTGCTAAGCAACAACAAGGCGCAAGTGAAATAAGAAGACACGTGTAAAATGTAACTAAAAATGCGATACTTTTTTGTCAGACGACTTGAGGTATTTCTATTACTTTACTGGCGAATGCTTCTGGTTAATAAAACTGGCGCTCGAATAATTTCTGGGGCGTCACAGGTAAAGATTATTTTCCCTGTGGGGGGAAATACCTTACAAAATATCCATTATAAAATGTTACTCGTAGTAAGGAAAATTGCGAACTGTTTTTACAACAACTTAATGTATTTTTTTTTTATTGAAAATATCTCATCCCAATTGTTATGGCTAAAAACAGATTATACAGATCCATTTAAACTAATAATAAATATAGAAATTACACAATTATTATCGTTTTAAAATATTTTAGGATTCTTACCCAACGATATGAAACAGGCCAGGACTATCCTCCATGCGTGCTTGCTCAAATACTTGGACATGCCATTTCCGATGTCATCCAAATTCTCGATCTCTGTGTCTCGTTTGAAACGATCATTCATATCGAACTGTGAATTATATCCTAAATCGTAACTGTTCGAGCTCGAGCTTTCTTTCGATCGATAACAAGTTGAAAATATTTTTATACTAAAAAATAAATAAAAAAAGTTAAAAATTACAATGTGTTATAAAATAAAACAGAAATAATAGAACGCCGATATAGAAGGTGTTACTAACCCCCTTGCCCATATTTTACAATCATATTAGGGAGGTCGAGATAAAAAAACCTAAATACCATTTTTCTCAAAAGTCCATAACAAATTCGAGAGACGCTAAAATGGTGGTACCCGCCTTATCGAGACTGAGGCCCACAAAGGTAAACTCGTAGCGTAAAAAAACGAGAACTTATTTAACTTGGAATGAAAGCCTGCTCATGTAAAATATTTGGGTTCCTTACTTCGCCTGTTTATATAATATTAATAAAGGACAGAAGGATGAGTATTGCAACTATGTTAAAAGAAATAAATCGGCTTTCAGTTCAGAATTATATTCAGTACAGGACTGATATTTATTTATAAAATAAAAATGACAGTACCATTGCATCAGACCTATTAGAAAAAATTCAATATAATTCGCAATATCACAACTATAGTACAAGCCAATCTGACTTTCATGTACGGCAAGTCATCACTAAAAGTTCCCAAAATAAATTTTTATTAAAGGTTCGCAAAAATTTAATAGACTGTCTACAGAAATAAAAAAAAAATGTATTCAAAAGTAACCCCAAACAATACTTGATAAATAAACAGAACAGATATACCTACTTTCTTGTGATAATACTCTTTAAACCTGCTCTTTTTAAGTATTTCCCTTAATTTATTGTTATTTTACCCCTTGTTTTACCCGTATTTATTATAAATTATTTCTGTTTTGAGATCATGTATCTTATTTTAAAAAATTACTCGATGTTATTTTAATATTACCTACTATGTTTAAATTATTAATAGTTTTGTGACTATAGGTTAGGTTATAGCAACTTATAGCCACAAAACTATTTTTGTGTTAAAGTAGATCCATAGAGATCAATATAATTTACAAAGGCCTTCTTTCAACATACAAATAACTGATAACTTTATAATTAAAATGAAAAACAACAAAATACCTCTGTATCATATTGGATCAAAATTTGAAATGGGTTGATCACATTACGTCATTAACAACCAAATTTAGAAGATTCATTTTTAAATTTTATGAATTGAGGAAATTTATGACTAATTATTATTTACAATTCGCAGGTTGAATCTATTTTGCGATATGGTATAATGTGGACTATATGATATTGCACTTCAACTCCTCAATGTAATCCAAAATCGTATAATTAAAACCAGCATTATATAAAAGGGTATAATAAAAAAGTGCTTTGTATAAGAACATTATATTATCTGTCTTGCTACCTTTATTTATGGAAAGCCGGAATTGAAATACCTACACTACAAATTATTTGCAATAAATATCAAAAAAAGCATACAAACATTTTTAAATAATTTGACATTTAAGAGTCATTCACACATCATAGTTGACATTTTGATACTTGACAGGCACAGCCAAGCATTATTTTGATTTTTGCCAAATAAAATGGCCGGTTAATTATTCTATCGGGTTGCAACAGAGAGCCAGTAAATTTGATGAAGGTGTTTTTGTGGCTAGGGGCGAAATAGTAGTAAGTTTAAGTTAGCACCACCATAAAAAAGTAATTTTTAAGAAACTGCTTACATATTTTTCATAAACTGGCAGGCTTGACGACTAATTTAGAATAAAAATAGCCTCCAAAATGGCTATGTTTGCAATATGAAGGTCGCAACCCGCCTTAGAAATCTCATCTTTACAATCAACAGCTGTTATCTGACAGGTCGTTGGATAATGTTTGCAATGTATGGAATTTAAAGAATGTTAGGAATGTCAGACGTTAGAAATAATTGAAATTCCTAAAATTAGTCATAAGAAATGCATAGGTGGATTTTAAGAAAATTGATATTAAAGTAGTTAGGATGAACCGAAAATTCTGAAAATCAAAAGGGTTCTAAGTTAGAAGTAATTATTCAAGAAAATCAAAACCGCAAGTCAATCAGAACTTTCGTTCTAGAGTTATCGTTTACCGTTTTAAAGTAAATCTGGCAATAACGCATGAATGAAGTTTAAAGTTATCGTATTTGTTGCGATTACCCCTATTCGTTATTTTTTTTTTTTAAATTTAAGACTGAGATTTGTGCGACCTATTTTTTTTTTATTATTTTATATTGTACTTTAGAAAAAACGGAATTTAGGTTTCTGTTTTCTCTTTATGGTAGCGGGGACCAGTGACGCGACATGTTCAATACTGCAGACGCGAAGGAGTCTTATGTGGGAGTTCTGACCCCCCAACTTTCCCTTTCAGAGCAACCGGCATGTTGGTGCCTCGGGGCAAAAGTTCAAAGGGAATACCTTGTACTTATGCTAATCAAATCAAATGCGCACCCTAAAGGCTTCCTTGAACGTCCAACGTCAGTTGCCTGCAGCCATATTGGCCTGACAGGTCAAATTCTTTAAAAAAATAGACGTCCGAAATACGTAATTGCTATGTCGTCTTTTGGATGTGACATTACTGCGTCTTTTAGATGTCATTTTGGACGTTCAATAGACGTCCGTTTGATGAATACGGTGACGTCTTATAAACGACTTATGGACGTCAGGTGCTACCTGGGAAATAGTGTTTATGTCGTCTCTACTTTATTCTATCTCGATGATCAATTAGGAAATCATTTTTTGTGTGTTGGAATAGCAATTCTATTGTTTCTATGCTTATAAAGAAGTATACATTTTCAATTGAAAACTAACAAATATTGGGTAAAAATTTGAATAATTTAAGCCTTTTCCGCTAGATGTCAAGTTAGAGGCAGATGTATAAAGTAATAGCGACAATTTGAAACTCTTACTTAAATAATAAATCTGTTCTAAAACTATTAAAGTAGTTCATTACATTATAAAGAATAACAAGAAACCAGGGTTTAGACTTTATGGAAATAACTTTAAATCAAAATACTTACTATCCTGTTGAACAGCGTGCCACGCATCTTCTCGATGTCAGGATAAATAAGTTATCGCCCATTGCTTCTGTAGATGAAGAGTCAATTTCCAAATAGCTAAAACATAATATGATGATAAAATTGTATACAGAAAACGAGAGAATTACTAAAATATCCAAACAATAGTAAAAGTGGGTATTCACTCTAGATTCTTTGCAAAGAATAAACAATTAATAAATAAATACAGTTTCTAGAGTGACTAACGCAACATTTTCTGCCAACATTTTTGTTTTGAATCATTAATTAACCTAAGGGTGCTAGTTCTTAGTTTCTGAAAGTTTATAAAATATTATTGGTTTGGTTCTCTTTGAAATAATCTAAATACCGGTTTTCTATCACGAATGGCTACACCTTCATTCCACCATGGTAATCATTTCTTCATGCAGAAGCCTTTAGATTTAGGAATGCTTTAATGTTCTTTATTCAGGATACTATCTGTTTTCGATTTATTATGAATTCGGGACGTATATGGCTTTCTGTATTATTCCCAAATCTTTTTTGTTTCTATTTACCAGCTCCCTTCAAAATTAACCTCTTTTGGATATACGAATTAAGTGTCACGGTAATGGGAAAATGATAACTTGAATATAGGCTAATCAGTGTTTTCCAAGATAATTTAGGACCAAGACGAGTCAAGGAAAGGCATTTGAGCAAGCATCGAGGTATGTGATGGCATTTCATTTTTTTATCGTCTTAGACATTTTACAAAATCTTCAAATGTTATTTTGTTTTTGATAATACACTGCTTGATTCCTTTTGATTTTTTTTTATCTCCAGCTTTATCATTAGGATTATTATCAAGTTTATATGTGTGTGTGTATATATTTCTGTCTGGCATTGGTTTCAAAACCAACTGACCAGTCAATCTTTAATTAATTTTAATAATAGTATATTACATTTTTCACACGAGTGGGAAATATTTTTAAAACACTTATTTTTTAATTTCATATAACTCTTATTTCAAACTTGTTTGCGAGTCTATAACACAAATTGAAATATTAAACAATTACTTACTAATGGGAAACCCTGTATAAATAAGTACATTTATCGCCAACCATATTTTATCGCACTCTAAAAATCAAATATGCTATTTGCCGATAATATTTATCAACATAGCCATGACCGTCTGGCAGAAAAATGGGCCTATTCTTTTTCTTATTTTTAAATCTGCCTTGGGCTTATTTTCAATTCACTTTTAGTCGTTACCTTGTCTATTTTAACTGCGATTGGTCATAAAATAGCTAATAACACAAAATTAAATTGATAGAATATCGAATAGAATTGAGTTAAAATTTAAACGTCATAAATAACCTTTTAACCTGAGTGTTATAATTAACTAAAACCTTACAGAAGAGAACCCTAAGTCTGTAACTGATTTGTTTTGTATTCGCTGTTATTTTTCTGTTTGTTTACTTTGTCATACTAAAATGTGATGTAATATCTCCTTCTTTTAATAAATTATACTTATTTACGGTTGGCAATAAAAGTTTGTATGGACCATGTCAGCAAAATGTCTTTATCGAACTCGCCTGTTACTCGCGACCGAGCGACACTTCTCTCGCTCGGCTCATAATATCAGACTAGTTCGATAAAGAATCACTTTTTGCTGACTTGGTCCATAAATAACTATTATTTCATACGAATATCAGTATACCCAATTTTACAAGTATCACCAAATGTAGGTAACATGAAGTTATAAGTAATGAAATTCAAGCATGTAAGTCTTTGATATATCTAAAAGAGCCATTCCAATGTATAAAGGTTTATTAACTCTATTTCCATTAAATAAATATTAAAGATAGTTCGACTGTAAAACGTAGGACTTGCTATTAGATTTTTTGCACCGTATCAAATTACCCATTGTGTAATTAATTTTACAACACAGTCTTTTTAATTTTTTCCATACTTTTTCCAAATTTAATTTTGAAATTATTATTTTTTTTTTTTTCAAATTTAGTTGCCTTCAGTGCACGTAGAATATCTAATCCTTGTCCGGTCCTAGTCATGATTCCAGTAATTATTTTCAATTGGTTCCTGTACCTAGACAGTAATTCTTACATTTTTTTTTGAACATGGTAATCCATGCGTTTCTTTTGAATGTTTCCGGTAATTTTCTGTTTTTCCGAACCCAATCTTTAGTAAAACCTTGTAATGTAACGTTTCGGTACCTCTAGTTTTATAAGTGATTCGTAAGTTTCTTCTGAGTCTCTTTTAGCAAGTTCGGCAGCTTTTTATTGCACTCGATACCCTAACTACCAGGCACCAAAATTTGATTATCATACTTATTTGTAGAGAGAGGGTACATATTTATCTTTCTCCCTCTCTAATGTGAATTAAGTGGAAAAACTGCAAGATGTAGCGAATGAACTCTACCTCAAGTTTTCGTTGTAGTCCCATACTGGCGTAGATGCCACTTTCTGACTGGATATGAGTGGTGATTTTAGTGTTACATTACCTCCGTATCCTACTGAAATGCCACAGGTCAAAGCATAAAAAGAAAATTTATAATAAGATATATTAGTACTTACGGAAGCTCCGTGTAATCTTGTCCCGTGCAAGACCATGCTTCATATTTTGCATTCTTTTGACCACAAATGTTACCGCATTGATCGTAACCCTTTAATCTTGACAAGTCTCCCTTCACAACGCAATATATTAGGAATGGAAACTAAAAAGAAACAATAGTATAGTAGAAATTAATTTTGTTTTTTTTTTTATTTAAATGCCTAATTAAAAAATGCAAGGAAGAAAATCAAAATAGAGGGAGTTTGGAAGGTCGATCCAAAGTCATTTAGACCTAATTAAGCCAAACATACCTTAGTACAAAGTCTTAGAGTTTTCAAGTTTTTCGAACATTTTGGATTTCTTTAAAGAAATGCATTTTTTCACATTTTTCTCCTTTTATCTCTAAAATAAAAGATGACAGTTTGATATTATTGTTTTTACCTAGCAGAACGTAGAAAAGAAAATCACACTGACTACAAAAAAATAATAAATAAATTTTTGGTATTTTTTCTTTTTACTAATAAAAAATTACTTTTTCTGCTGTTTATTAACAAAATCATTATTAAAAATGTTTATTTACAACCATATATGTAATGTTGTCATTACTAACGTCATTGTAGGTTGGGAAGTGTCACATTACATACCTCTACTTCCCGCCCTCACTTCCCGCCCTCATTTCATCTATTCTAGATGAATATTTTTTATATTTAAAAAAATAACACATTTTTTTGACAAATTTTATAATACCTATTTAATGGCAAAAAATAAAAAACAACAATGAACTAAAATACAATAAACTATTTATTGATATTTATTATTCGCGAATTTAATATCCGGCTTTATCTGACATTTATTTATATTGGTGACAGTTGTTTACCCCGTAATCACAGTAACAATCTTGATTATTCTGAGAAAACCGCGTGCTTGGTAATTTGTCGTTAAATGTAATATTTTAGGTATGTTCAGAACGAAACAGAGATTTATTAACTTTGATCGAAATATGATGGTTGTAAATAAAATAGTATACAAACCTCGGTAGGAAGTTTCATTCCTGTCTCAAGATCATAGCTAACCTCGACGCTTCGCGTCTCGGTGATCTAACTAATCTCACGACAGAAATGAAACTCTTCCCACCTCGGTGTGTAATAGGTACCTACTTTAAAAACGACAACCAAAAAAATGGTAATTTAAATTTATGTGAAAACGAGAAATCGAATTTAGACCATCATACAAATATATAAATGCGAAAGTTTGGATGGATGGATGGATGGATGTTTGGATGGATGTGTGGATGTTTGTTACTCAATCACATCTGGATGGAATTTGGCACAAATATAGATTATAGTCTGGAATACCACATAGGCTACTTTTTATCCCGAAAAATGCATCGATTTGTTTTTGTTTTTCACAGAGCAAGGGATCGGACATAATTTTTTGTGTAGTGGTAGTGAAACATGAAAATTTGAAATACTGCTACTGAGCATAAAAAAATAAAGACGTATTTCAAGGTTAGTGTATTTTCACATTTTAAGAAGGAAAAATAAATAAAAATTAATAAAAATAAATAAAAATATATAAAAATATATAAAAATATATAAAAATATATAAAAATATATAAAAATATATAAAAATATATAAAAATATATAAAAATATATAAAAATATATAAAAATATATAAAAATATATAAAAATAAATAAAAATTAATAAAAATTATTAAAAATTATTAAAAATTATTAAAAATTAATAAAAATTAATAAAAATTAATAAAAATTAATAAAAATTAATAAAAATTAATAAAAATTAATAAAAATTAATAAAGATTAATAAAAATAAATAAAAATTAATAAAAACTAATAAAAATTAATAAAATTTAATAAAAATTAGTAACAATTAATAAAAATTAATAAAAATTAATAAATATTAATAAAAATTGATAAAAATTAATAAAAATTATTAAAAATTAATAAAAAATATAAAAACTAATATAAATTAATAATAATTAATAAAAATTAATAAAAATTAATAAAAATTAATAAAAATTAATAAAAATTAATAAAAATTAATAAAAATTAATAAAAATTAATAAAAATTAATAAAAATTAATAAAAATTAATAAAAATTAATAAAAATTAATAAAAATTAATAAAAATTAATAAAAATTAATAAAAATTAATAAAAATTAATAAAAATTAATAAAAATTAATAAAATTAATAAAAATTAATAAAAATTAATAAAAATTAATAAAAATTAATAAAAATTAATAAAAATTAAAAATTAATAAAAATTAATAATTAATAAAAATTAATAAAAATTAATAAAAATTAATAAAAATTAATAAAAATTAATAAAAATTAATAAAAATTAATAAAAATTAATAAAAATTAATAAAAATTAATAAAAATTTATAAAAATTAATAAAAATTTATAAAAATTAATAAAAATTAATAAAAATTAATAAAAATTAATAAAAATTAATAAAAATTAATAAAAATTAATAAAAATTAATAAAAATTAATAAAAATTAATAAAAATTAATAAAAATTAATAAAAATTAATAAAAATTAATAAAAATTAATAAAAATTAATAAAAATTAATAAAAATTAATAAAAATTAATAAAAATTAATAAAAATTAATAAAAATTAATAAAAATTAATAAAAATTAATAAAAATTAATAAAAATTAATAAAAATTAATAAAAATTAATAAAAATTAAATTAATAAAAATTAATAAAAATTAATAAAAATTAATAAAAATTAATAAAAATTAATAAAAATTAATAAAAATTAATAAAAATTAATAAAAATTAATAAAAATTAATAAAAATTAATAAAAATTAATAAAAATTAATAAAAATTAATAAAAATTAATAAAAATTAATAAAAATTAATAAAAATTAATAAAAATTAATAAAAATTAATAAAAATTAATAAAAATTAAAAAAAATTAATAAAAATTAATAAAATAAAAATTAATAAAAATTACTAAAAATTACTAAAAATTACTAAAAATAATAAAAATTAATAATCATTAATTTTTTTAAATTATAAACACGACACCACGCGTGCAAAGCCGCGGGCAAAAGCTAGTAAACAATAAATAAAACAAAATTTTCTATTAAAATGTGATTTATTGTTGTTTTAAATGAGATCCATCATGTATTATGCATGCTCGGGCTCTACGTCTTACTTCGATAGTTGTTCGTAATAACATGTCCTGTTGCATCACTTGAAAAGCCTCGTCAGTTTTTCTTAATCAATGGCGTCCAGTGGCGTCAAGTCCGGAGATCTAGCAGGCCACGGAATTGGTCCACCTCTGCCGATCCAACTATCTGGAAAAATATCATCCAAATATGGTCTTACGTCTAGACGAAAATGGGCTGGACATCTGTCGTGTTGGAAAATAATTTCTATGTCATCTGCAAACTCTAATCCTCCAAGTAATTCAGGTAGATCATTTTGCAAAAATGTAGATAACTCTCCGTTTAATCTTTCAGGCAAAAAAATGAGGACCGATTAAATTTCGTAAGTGTTATAAAACAGCCTAACATTAGGCAATATCCTCTCAGGAAATCGCTCTTGATACAAGCGTCGTGCTTCTAATCCTTTACCATCTGCTCTACCATATGCGTATTCTTCGTTAGTGAACGCAGTAATTTTAGCAACTAATTACTTAAAGGTTTCAGCGAAAACCTACACTTGATGTTCGGTGCTGGATCAGCAAAACTTCAACTTGACACGACTGAATTAGTAATAAAAAATAATAACACAGGAAGGAACGCGCAACCAAAGAGTATAGTTAACACAAGAGATCGCACTCAAATGTCAATCGATCTGAAAGTCTGTGACCTTGAAAATTTTAAATATTTTACGCGGGTAAATGTATCGCTAATCTAATATAACCTAGCTTTCTGATCATTTCTCTTTTTGGTTCAAACATTTATTTATGATCTAATTTTGTTATAGATCTGTATTTTTTTAATACAAATTACATCATGAAGGTTTGTGCAGTGAAAAACTGCAAAAATACTAATCAATTTTCTCATGTGACAGCAACCAACGCTCCGATTGGTGACGATAGACTTGTCAAAAATACTCCAGACCAATAGAGAGGAGGCATCGAGGTCAACATTATCTTAAAAACAAAAAAAAAAACATTAATTTTGTAATAACCACACTAATTTTGTCTTCAAGTGGCTTAAAATGTGAATATTTTTTACTTTTAGATGTAATTTTTCTCATGTGACAGCAACCAAAGTGCTGATTGGTGACCCCAGACTTGTCAAAAATACCCAGACCAATAGGGAAGAGGTGCGTCATTGAGATTTGAGCCAGAATTTAACATGTGAAGTATAGGGAGTGGCAGGCCTGCGGCGGCGCAACGCTACAGATACGTCGAAAACTATCAGATTTGCAAAACATTTTTGTTGTAGGCTTGTTATCAGTGTTTACATTAAAATTCTTAGATTTGGCTCGATGGCACCGTTTCGGAAGGCATGAAGCACATTTATTTTTATAATATAAACAAGCTGATTTTATTAATAATACTTTATTTAAAAAAGTAATTTTTGATCAGAAGAAAAAAAAATTACCAAAAATTCATTTATTATTTTTTTGTAGTCCGTTTGGTTTTCTGTTCTTTACATTTTCAGAAAAGACACTCGTTCTACTATAAAAAAATTATTGTCAATGTGTCATCTTTCATTTTACAGATGAGAGGAGACAAATGCAAAAAATGCATTTAAAAAAAGACTTTGTACTAAGGTATGCTTAATTAAGTCTAATTGACCTCCCCTATCACCTACCCAAGACTTTGCATCGACCTTCCAAACACTCTGTATATTCTGCGGAAATATATAAAAATACTTTAAAAAAATATTTTTGATACGCCCATGGTAAGCATCAAATTGAAGCGCTCCATAACTAGGCTATAGTGAGTAGGAACAGAGAACAACTGAAGATTTAGGTAAAATGTTACTTGTTTCCGAAATACAAGGTGTTAAAGTGAAAAATATGCAAAAAAATTTATAGGTATAATTTTTTATTACTAGTATAATTTTACTAAATTTGGCAATTTTTTTTTGGAATACATCATTTAAATAAAGTTTGCCAATGGCGCACGGCATGGGTAAGTAACACCATCCCTCTCTAAATTTTGCGCCTCTGTCCAAAAACGTATTTGGACTATAATTTTAAAGTTTTTGATGTTTTTTAAATTAATTATGTTAATTTTAGCACACACCGAATGCACTTTAGACCAAATTAAAATTAAAGTTATCTAATTCACTTACTAGTAAAACGACAACAACTGCAAACACAATGATGAATTTTTTGTCCGTGGGCTTTCGATTTTCCGCCCTTTCCGGAATTTCAATGCTATCCAGTAGAGCGTTGGTAGGTAATTTCTTGAAAACAGCTAACTGAAACAAACAAAAATAAAGTTTAAACATGTTTCTTGGAAGAGCTAAATAAAATGGGTCTAGGACGTTTCATCGCCGGCGTTTCTACGCCGCCCATTTATCGCCAGCCGGTTCTTCGCCAGGCCGGTTCATCGCCGGCCGTTTCTTCGCCGGCCGTTTCTTCGCCAAGCTACTTTGACGCTAATATAGTAATCAAATAAATTATACAAACATGAGCAGGATTCAAACCTTGATAATAATTTTTAGTGTTGTATTTATACATATGCATAAATAATAATAATATAATTACAGAGTGGAATATTTATCTGGAACAACTTCTGTAAATTAATAAATAAAATTTGTCGCAAAATTCCTAAGACGTTAATTTTTATTTTCAGTCGGGCATATTACAAATAGGTTTGTTTTTTTTTTAATTAGCTGGGAAGTTGTAGCAAAGCCCAACTTTTTTTAATAGAAGGGTAGTTCGATTATTTTTTTATTTTAAAGCTTTTCCAATTGCAAATACAATTACGTATTTTTATTGTTACTTTTTGTAAGCAATATATTGAAAAAAAAAATAAGGAAATGTTTACTGAAACTAAACCAGAAATGAAATTAGGCATGTAACGCCGGAAGTGTTTTAAAATTTTCGGAATGCTTTTTATTATCGATTAGGGCTACATTTGCAAACATCAGAGGTATGGTACGTCGATGGAACATTTTCGATTGCACCGCAATTATTTTTTTCAAATTTTTGTAGTAATGGCCAAAAAGCACGGCGGAGTTCACCCTATTTTTTATGCCTTTTACCGAATAAACAACGTAGAACGTATGTACAGATGTTTGAAGCAATAAAGGGACTACTGCCAAATTTAAATCCAATATCCATTGTGTATAATTTTGAGCAAGCTGCGATTGCTGCCATGGCTGAATGTTTTCCTGGAGTTAATTTGAAAGGTTGTTTCTTTCATTTAGCAAAGAACATGAAAAAACATTTGTCTGAAATGGAACTTACGAGACAGTACAATAATAACGCAGATTTTGCACTGCAAGCAAAGCTGATTATCGCTTTAGCTTTTGTACCAACTAGAGATTTGGACGAATTCGTTGATGAATTAGGCAATGTGTTAACAGCAGAATTACAGCCGTTATTAAATTTATTTGATAACAATTATATCGGCCTTTCAAATAGGCACGGTAATGGTAGACGACCTTCTTTATTTTCCATAGAAATGTGGAATTTATTTAACCGGGTTCGCAATAATGAAGATCGTACTAATAAAGGCGGAGTTGGGAGTAGATCATCCAAGTTTATGAAAATTAATAGATGGACTCCGTAAAGTTCCAAAAAATTGTGATGCATATTTCGAACAATTAGTTGCAGGAAACCAACCACTTCAAAAGTTAAAAAAATATCGCCTAGCTGATGAACGAATTTTGAGGATAGTTGCTGAATATGATAATAGAAATAAAATGGAACATTTACGTGGATTAGCACATAATTACCAATTTTAAAAAAGGTTTGGTTTATTTTATAACTGATTTATTTATCTTTAGTTGTATGTTTTTAATTTAATGTGTACTGACGAAGTTTAAAATAAATTTTAGAAAATATGTTTTGTTTATTTAAAAAAATAAACTATACTTATCTATCTGAACACTGTAGAAATGACTACATTATTTTAATTTTAATGATAGAAATGTACTAATTACAAAAAAATGTGATTTATAAAAAAAAAATGTGAATAATATAAAAAATAATTACTATACCAAAAACAAAAATTTTGACAAGAATAATAACAATAAAAAAATAATTGCAGAATTATGAAATATTAATCAAAACATTAAAATGTTCATGATGCATGTAAAAATATTTATAATTATATAATACTTTTCTCAAAAAAATGTCAGAATATTTAAAGGTGGAAATAAAAGATGGCAAAAAAATAAACGTATACGATTCTAATAAGAAACAAAACGGATATTATACAAAATACAATCTTTTAATAAGATCATATCTGCATTAAAACAAAAAAAAGTGTGGATAAACAGAGTTGTTTCTACGAAAATGTATAGCTTTATCATAAATAAATTGTATATTTTTTAAATTTCGATAATATTTGAAATCTGTAAACAAATTTATAATGATTTATTATAAATAATAAAAAACTTGGCCAAAATAAAGATAATAATTATCTATCTCAATAGAAATAATTGTTATACTATTTAAAAAACAGCTTTCTAATTCTTTAAAACTATGTTTAGTTGTATTATCCTGTAAATCATAATTGTGTATGTACACTCTGTACGTATAACTTAACAGCGATGAAACTGCCGGCGATGAAACGGCCGGCGATGAAACGGCCGGCGATGAAACGGCCGGCGATGAAACGGCCGGCGATGAAACGGCCGGCGATGAAACAGCCGGCGATAAAACGGCTGGTGTAGAATCGGCGGCGATGAAACGGCCGCGTAGAAACGTCCCATTCCAAAATAAAATGGTGAGTACTGTCTCTAAAACTGATTCCAAGGCAATACAATAAAAAATATAGTTTAAATAAAAGACGAGTGCAGTAATAGTGGAGATATAACGTCACATTCCATAAGCGTAATTTGCAAAATAGGTTTCTATAATATAAATAAGATTACGGCATATCAAATGGTATATACGCACTACGTAGATTAAATGAAAAATAGTATATTATTAAACGAGCAATTTATGGTAGCCATTATTCACGCAGGGTGAATAATGGCCATAAATTGCGAGTCTAATACTATACTTTGTCCACGACCATTATGGTTTCTTTATTAAATAAAAGTTAAGTGTAGAATGGAAAGTTTTTATTAAACATAGGTAACTAACTGTTTTTTTCACTTTTCAATTTTTCGATTTTCGATTTTTCGATTTTTCGATTTTTCGATTTTTCGATTTTTCGACTTTTCGATTTTTTGATTTTTTGATTTATCGGTTTTTTGATTTTTCGATCTAGAAAATATCGTTATGAAAAGTATCGCCTATCTTTAGTTATCTACCGGAATGTGCCAGAATTACAAAAGCGTGAATTATCATAATTCACTCCGTGATATATGGGTACTATATGCTTTTAGTTAGGAGGTAGAATATTGATTTATTATTAAGTTGTCGTGGACAAAGGTATATTATTTACAAAAAATAAAAATAAACCTTTTGCTTCTGACAAAATTGTTGCTTTAACATTGAATAAATTAAATTTAACCAATAAATAACAAGGAGGATTACATGTTGTTAATGGGATTAAACTTTTTTTAATCTCTTGACATCTATATTTCTTTCAGTACCTACCCAAAATCAAAAATAAAAAATTCAAGAACTATCTTTAAAAGTCACTGTCTACTGGTATCTGAGGTTTATTATTACAGGGTCTATTAAGTTTTTCAATGCTATATCCACTTTCCAAAATTAATTTTCTCTCTTTTTAACATTATCAATGCATTTTCTCCAATGTTCTCCATTTACATCTAAAACTGCCTTCAAAAACAAATTTCGCACATCAGGTAATGAGATTTAACTCTGCGTGGTAAGTAGGCAATCTATGAATTTTAATTCCACTTTCTCGGGCTTGTCTATAATATATTTTTTGAATTTGTTTTTACGTTGCCTTTTTATTACGAGTAATTCTGCCGTCAAGGAGTGATTTAGTTTAGGAGAACCGATAATATTTTTGGAATGAAGCCATTTTGTATCTTTTTTTCATCTGGTCGTAGGTAGTGACTCCTTTAATCGACTGTGATAGGATGCATTATCCAAAACAATAACGGAGTTGGCTGGAATTTTTTTTTATTATGTTCTGAAACCAATTTTCTAACATAGTGCCATCCATTTCTTCATGGTAGTCTTTTATTTTGACTCGAACATTAATATTTTTTAGGAAAAAAAGGATTAGTATCAGAATGGTCGAATAAACTCAAATATTTGTAATTTATTAGCTACGGGGGTTTAGCTCATGACGGTAGAATCCATCGGTGTTTCCAATGTGGTTTATTATTAAACGATTTCCTTTTCCTGTTGGATTTTTTAATCTACAAGAGACCCCTTCCATAAAGGCTTTTGTTACTGCATGTCCAGCATTAACCAATGTTTCAATATAAAATAACTTTATTAAAATTTGTATAAAATATACATGTGACAAATATCAAAAAAGTATGACAACTACTACATCTAACAAAAGTAAAACACAACTAGCAAAGTTAAGTATGTAATGAAAGTATTAAGACAAAATTGATTGTTTTATCTCAATACCCCCCATAAAACTTCAAGTTTCATTATTTCTTATCACTCCTAATATTGAACGCAGTTTTTCGCACTGAGTCTTAGAAATGGGCTTAGTTAAGATATCATACCCGCTGATTACCGGGAACATGTTTAATCTGTAACATTCCTCGTTAAACTTGTTCTCGAATAAAGTAAAATCTAACATCAATATGTTTAGATCGTTTGTGAAAACTCCGCTTCCATTGCAGATAGCGAAATACTCCGCTGCCTTTTACTCGACCAAAGAATGGGTCATCCATTGTACTTAATAAGATTGCCACTGGCGTAATCCGTAACAATATCTTCTTTGACAAATTAGCGCACATTGCTTGACATTGTAAAAGTCATTCCTTTTTCAGTTACCGAGGGTACCGAAAATAAATTTTTTCTCGCAAATGGGACAAAGAGGACATTTTCTCTATGACATGATAACCACTTTCCGTTGTTGACCTTAGCTTCAAAAGGTATAGTTTCTTTTCCAAAGGTATTCATAGTGGAATTATCATCTATATGAAAATTTTCAGAGGAGTACTTGAATTGTTCAAAAGTGGAGAACCATTCAGCGTGATGCGTTATGTGGTAGGTAGCACCAGAGTTAACAATCCAAGAGTCACTGTCGAGTTCAGCATTTTTAATTTCGGAAACAAAAGCTTCATCTTTTTAATTTTAGAGGAAGACTTTCATTTCTGGGCAATTTTTTCGAAAGTGGCCTCTTTTACCACAATGATAG